CAGCGACGTCGACTTCAATGACAACGGTGTAATGGTGCTGGGTTCTGGTGTCTACAGAATAGGTTCTTCTGTCGAGTTCGACTGGTGCGCCGTCAGAGCCATCAGAACGCTGAGAGCACAAGGTTTCAAGACCATCATGGTAAACTACAACCCAGAAACCGTCTCTACCGATTACGATGAGGCCGACAGACTCTATTTTGAGACCATCAACTTGGAGAGAGTGCTGGATATCTACGAGCTTGAAAAGTCTTCTGGTATCATTATTTCCATGGGTGGCCAGACCTCCAACAACATTGCTCTGCCTCTGCACAGACAAAACGTCAAGATTCTGGGCACCTCGCCGGAAATGATCGACTCGGCCGAAAACAGATACAAGTTCTCGAGAATGCTGGACAAGATCGGCGTTGACCAGCCGGCCTGGAAAGAGCTCACCTCGATCCAAGAAGCCGAGGAGTTCGCTGAAAAGGTCACGTATCCTGTTTTGGTGAGACCATCTTATGTTCTCTCTGGTGCTGCCATGAACACTGTTTATTCCAAGGCCGACCTGGCGTCGTATCTCTCGCAGGCGGTCGAGGTCTCTCCAGACTACCCCGTTGTTCTGACCAAGTACATTGAGAATGCCAAGGAGATTGAGATGGACGCTGTTGCCAAGGACGGAAAGCTGATCATGCACGTTGTTGCCGAGCACGTCGAAAACGCAGGTGTCCACTCTGGTGATGCCACATTGATTGTGCCTCCACAGGACTTGGACAAGGAGACCGTGAGACGCATTGTCGAGGCCACGTCCAAGATCGGAAAGGCTCTGGACGTGACCGGGCCGTTCAACATCCAATTCATTGCCAAGAACAACGAGATCAAGGTTATCGAGTGTAACGTGAGAGCGTCGAGATCTTTCCCATTCAACTCCAAGGTGGTTGGCACCGACATGATCGAGATGGCTACCAAGGCCATCATGGACATTCCTGTGAAGCCTTATCCTGGCGAGAAGCTACCGGACGACTACTGTGCCGTCAAGGTGCCCCAATTCTCGTTCTCGAGACTTTCAGGTGCCGACCCAGTTCTTGGTGTCGAGATGGCTTCCACCGGCGAGGTTGCCTGCTTTGGTCACAACAAGTACGAAGCCTATCTCAAGTCTTTGATTTCGACCGGCTTCCAGCTGCCAAAGAAGAACATTCTTCTCTCCATTGGATCGTTCAAGGAAAAACAGGAATTGTTGCCTTCCATCAAGAAACTGTACGAGCTCGGCTACAACCTGTTTGCGACGGCCGGAACTGCCGACTTCATCCAGGAACACGGTGTTCCAGTCAAGTATCTGGAGTTGCTGACCGACAGAGAGGACGACAAACAGAAGGCCGAGTATTCGCTGACGCAGCACCTGGCCAATAACCTGATCGACCTGTACATCAACCTTCCATCGGCCAACAGATTCAGAAGACCGGCCTCGTACGTGTCGAAGGGTTACAGAACAAGAAGAATGGCCGTTGACTATGCCGTTCCTCTGGTTACCAACGTCAAAAACGCCAAGCTTTTGATCGAGGCCATTGCCAGAAACCTGAGTCTCGAAGTGTCCAACATCGACGCGCAGACCTCGCACAAGACCGTTGAGTTGCCAGGCCTGATTTCGATCTCCACGTTTGTGCCATCGTTCGAGTCGGAGTCTGCTTCCGCCAAAATCGAGGCCGTCACCAAGGCTGCTCTGGCAGCCGGATTCACTCTCACTTCTATCTCCCCGGTTACAGACTCTGGATCGTTCATTGTCGACGCCAGAACTCTGGCCAGGGCCCACGAGCTCGCCCAGGACTCCACCTACACGGACTTCTCGTTTGGCGTTGCTGCGACCGAGGAAAACCCGACCCAGATCCAGCACGTTTCGTCGCTCACGTCGTATCTGCTTGTGCGCTCGGATGAGTTCCTCAAGAACAAAATTGCATCCACTTCGGCACACTTTGGCGTCTGGCCGGAGAAAAAGCCAATTGTCACAGACACCAAGACCACTGACCTGGCCTCTGTGCTTTTGCTGGCCTCCCTTTACAACAGACAGATCCACGTCACCAACGTCACCAGCAAGGATGACCTGGCTCTGATCACCATGTCGAAGGGTAAAGGTCTGCAGGTGTCGTGCGACGTGTCTGTGTACTCGCTGTTTGTTTCGCAGGAAGAGTATCCTGGAGCAGGCTTCCTGCCTACTAAGGAGGACCAGAAGGCTTTATGGGACAACTTGGATTCTGTGGACTGTTTCTCTGTCGGCGAGACGCCAAGTCTGCTTGCCCAGCATGTTGGCCAGCCGGTGACTGCTGCCATCGGCATTGCCGACACGCTGCCGCTGCTGCTTTCTGCCGTTGCAGAAGACAAGTTGACGTTTGAGGATATCGTTGCCAAATTGCACGACAACCCAATCAAGATCTTCAACCTGAGAGACAACGAGTCTGTGATCGAGGTCGATGTTGACAGAGCCGTGTCCTCACTCAAAACCAAGAGAAGCGTGTGGTCGCCATTCCAGTCCAAAAACCTTAAGGGTGCCGTTGAGAGAGTGCACATGAACGGCCAGACTGTCTGTCTAGAGGGCGAGTTTGTCGTTGCCGAGGCCCTTGGCAGAGAAAACGCCTTCCTTGTCCAGCACCCATCATCTCTTACTGGCACTCCGGCCGTGGCAGAGGCACAGCTGGCTGCTTCGCCAGCTATCGCCACCAGAAGAGCCTCGAGATACTCATTTGACGGCGCCAGAAAATCCGCCCTCATCGACTCTCTGAAAGATACCAGCGCAATTTCAGAGCCGCACGAGGGTCCGACCGGTGCCGATCTTGTCTCCTCGATGCCTCCAAGAGAGCTGTCGCTGCCAAATGCTATAATCTCCTACATTAAGGGCGACAATCCATTCCTCAGAAACTCTGTTCTGTCGGTGAACCAGGTCTCCAGATATCACTTGCACGCTCTGTTTGCTGTTGCACAGGAGATGAGACTAGCTGTTGAGAGAGAAGGTGTTCTGGACGTGTTGAAGGGCCGCGTCCTGACCACCGCCTTTTTCGAGCCATCCACCAGAACCTCCTCGTCGTTCAACGCTGCTATGCAGAGACTGGGCGGTCGTGTTGTCTCGATTTCCGAACAGGGCTCCTCTGTCAAGAAGGGCGAGACTCTGCAGGACACCATCAGAACCATGGCCTGCTACTCCGACGCCATTGTCTTGAGACATCCTTCTGAGGAAAGTGCAGATATCGCCGCCAAATACTCTCCAGTTCCTATTATTAACGGTGGCAATGGTTCCAGAGAACATCCTACCCAGGCCTTCTTGGACCTCTTCACCATCAGAGAAGAGCTGGGTACTGTTAACGGAATCACGGTCACATTCATGGGAGACTTGAAGTATGGAAGACCAGTGCACTCTCTGTGCAAGCTACTGCAACACTACCAGGTCAGAATCCAGCTTGTTTCCCCTCCAGAACTGAGACTTCCGGAGAACATGAGAAAAAAGCTTGCCGACTCAGGAATGCTTGTTGGAGAGTCCACAGAGCTCACCAAGGAAATCATAGCCAAGTCTGACGTGCTGTACTGCACCAGAGTCCAGCAGGAGAGGTTTGAAGACAAGGAGCAGTACGAAAGGCTCAAGGACTCATATGCTGTTGACAACAGGATTCTTGCACACGCCAAACAGCACATGTGTGTGATGCATCCGCTTCCAAGAGTCAATGAGATCAAGGAGGAGGTGGACTTTGACCAGAGAGCTGCCTACTTCAGGCAAATGCGTTACGGTCTGTTTGTGAGAATGGCATTGCTCGCCATGGTGATTGGTATTGATTTTTAACTAGGATAATAGATAGACATAGATATTAGATTTAATGTTACGAGAATGACTGAATTGGATGTAATTTTTTTTATCTTTTGGTTTTTGCTGATGCAAAAAAATATGCCTCCTACCGGATTTGAACCGGTGATCTTCGCATTACGAGTGCGACGCCTTACCACTTGGCCAAAGAGGCATTATATGCGTAGAATTTCTCGCCTTTTGACCATGAAGCTACGGCCCCTTTCTGGTAGCACATGATATCAGTAATATAATCCAACAAAATAATTCTACATTCAAATTCATCACCACAAGCTTGTTTACATCTATACACTTAGTTTGCCTTTTTCTGCTCATCCCGCTTCGAGTAGATCTTGGCGGTGAAGGGCTCCTCTATCAGTTCAACAAGCTGGTACATGGCGTAGACAAGACCCGAAATAAACACACCCGAAGCCTTGCCGTACCACAATGCTGTTCCCAGGAAACACAGCGTGGATCCATCGTACATAGGGTTGTCGAGCACGCTGAATGGGAAATCCGTGATTCTCTCGTCTTTAAGGAAGCCAAAGTGGTCTCCGAGGTAAGTCCCCACGATTCCTAGTTTATACATGGAGGTGGAGACAAAGACAGAGCCAGTTGCAAACAACAGGGCCCCAATAACCTTAACAAGCGGCGTGTCCAGCAACGGAGACGTCGGCTGGTCCAGAATAGCATCTCTGTAGATGTGGTCTCTGATCAAGCCGAGGGTGAAGACGGTCAAGGAGAACGCATACACGGCAAGCAACTTGCTGCCAAAAGCCAGCTTGGACAGCAGTTTTGTGTTGTACTCGAGTCTGGCTCCAAAGTTCCAGTACAATGGGTTGAACACCACAAAGAATATTGACGTCTGGATCTTCTTAGAGTTGAAGTCGATGTCCTTGGCGAGTTCCCAGTAAATGTCCTTGAATTTGTCGACGTAATCCATGTCTTGTGACTAAATTAAACATGTATAAAGCCTCATTATTTATAAGGCCCGCGCTCCAAAATGTTGAATTCGCAATCACATGCACATTGCCTTCGAAAAAGGGAGAATCTTGCAAAATATAAATACCTCTCCTTCCCACCTGTAATTTGCCCTGAATTTGCGGAGCCAACAATGCACCTTTGTCTGCCAGATTCTATCACATGCAAATTCGCGGCCTCTTTTTTAGCCTAAAAATTAAGTGTTGGGCCACATGCCTCATTTGGTGTACCTTACTTGTATTTACTTACCTATAGTGCTCATGCCTCGAGCCGCTCGGCAGCGAGTCTTCTTTCGATCTCGGCAAGCTCCCGTTCACGAGCCTCGATCTCCTCCTTCTTCAGCATCAGGTCGCGCTGCACGCGCTCCTCGAACGCACGCAGCCGCTCTTCCTCGAGTCTGATCTGCTCCTCCTTGTCGTCCAAGGCCGGGCTGTCAGCGATCTTGGGCGATGGGTACGCACCGTTTCCGTTGGCGACGCCCGTCATGCTCGTGGCCATCGAAGACACTCTGGCCCTGCTGATCTCGCTAACGTCGCCGATCTCGCCCTCTTCTCCGAGAGTCTTGGCACGGTAGTTCTCATACAGCACCTCGTGGGTGTAATCCTTGAAGTCGTTCAGATGTGTGATGAGTAGCGTGTTTTTCAGCGACAGAAAGTCGCTGATCTCGTTGTCGAAGATATCGATCGTGCCCCACGGATACACCCTTACACGCTTGACCTCGCCCGACGCCGGGTCCTTGTGCGTCGTGTTGGACCCCATCACCGCAAAAGGCAGCGTCTTACCCAGATACTTATTGAGCTCGATGGTCTCCTCATCGGCGCCTTCGTCCAGGTTGAAGAAGTCGTCGTTGAAGTCAAAGATAGGCAGCTTGTAGCGTTCGATGTCTTCCATGATGAGTTTCTTGTTCAGTTTCAGCTCAGGGAGCGTCAAAGAGTCTGCCTTGGCAATCACCGGCACTATATTGACCAATTCTCCAAGCGACTGCATGAAAACGACGTCCTGTTCTTTCAGTCCGTGGCCAGTCGGGGTGATGAAATACAAACAAACGTGGACCCGACAGTCCTTGAATCTGGGGTTCCTTCTAAGCTTGGACTCTTCAATCAGAATCTCGTCGTACTGGTGTTTGACGTAATCGGTAATAATCTGGAATGACACGCTGTTATCCATGCTGGTGCCAAATCCAGGGGTATCGATCAGGTTCAGACAGATACGCACGCCCTCGCCGTCCTCTAGCTCGACGGTGCTTTTCCTGAGCTGCATCTCGCGGTCCGGATTGACCAATTCTTCGGGGGAGTACATGTGGATGGTCGAGGAGGGCTCAACGATCAGCTGGTCGCACAGCGAGTTGATGAACGTCGAGCGGCCTGAACCACTCTCGCCGACCACCATGACGGTGAAGTTCAGCGACTTCTTGAGCGTCTTTCTTTTACGTAGAGCTGCCGAGTTTCCTAGGACAGTAACCATGTTGCCAACGCGTTTAAAATAAATTCGCGTAGCAATAAAATAAATAAAATAAATAAATTACATTTCGGCCTGCACAGCCGTGATACATAACCATCTATCCAGCTCTCGCCCTAATTGTCTGCAGCTGCTTGTAACGGCGCTCCCAGTTGAACTGCCAGTCCGAGTTTGTCCAGATCTCGCAGAACTGACTACATAGCGTGCTCACGTTGCGGACATAGCTCGGCAAGTTGTGCTCGCTGATGAGCTTGAAGTGAGTCGTGCTGAATATACCGGGGATTCCTGCTTTTCGGAAGATCTTGACGCGGTAGTACCGCTCGGCGCATGGCTCAATCACAATGCTCATGAAATTGAACTGTGATGCGATCTTGTGGAACAGAAACGGCTTGCCCGAGTCGTTCCAATAGATGTTCACAAAGTCGTTGCCGATGTGCCGCTTTTTGCTGCTCACAGCATCGTCCGTCCCGTGCGGCATCATGGTAGTCACGTGGAAACATATGTGGGACACCGGTGAGTGGTAGTGCACCGTGTATTCGCCGTCCTGGTCGTTCTGCGTGTCCAGGCCGCCAACGTAGTAGTCTCTGCACCCACGCAACCTAATAAGCTTGCCAAGCCGCGTCAAAAACGCCTCGTAGGCCTCGGACCCGAACTGGTTGCTCAAAATGTCCTTTTCGGTCGTCTGGCCGGCCCCAATGTACACCACGCCGATTTTGTGCAGGTTCACCACCGGGATCCGGTCCATCACCGCGACAGACCGCCTAGTCTGGTCGTCCATCTCCAAAGGCGTCAGATCGGCGTTTCCAGCCCCCAGAAGCGCAGAGACCACAAACGACGGCTGCAGAGACGTGTGTGTGTGCGATGGAGGCAGCCTCACTTCAAAACGGTCGATCGCCGTCGATCGACGCAGCGTGAGCAGCGATTTGGGACTGTGTTTGTGGCTCGCCACCGTGAGAAGCCCGCTGCCGTCAAGCCAATGGCGCGTGTCGTAGTCCTTGTGATTGTCTATCTCTGTGTCGACGGCGAAAATCTGTCTTGTGCTATTTTCAGCCGTCACAAACCGGTTAATGGCCTCGTAGTGCACTTTATTTTTCGTGTCGTCCAGACCAAGAGCTACCAGATTTTTATTGATGAAATCAACAAGCTCGCTGCGCTGGTCCATCGAAAGCTTGAGAAACCAGCCACAGACTGCGCGGTACGACATTGCTGTTGAAAACAACAGCAACTGCTGGCTGACCTCGAACGTCTGGGTCGACGGCAGCCTGTCGAGCGAGGAGTCCAGATAGTCCACGTCGTGCTCTTTCTTGTTTTGGAACGAGTCCTTGGAGTACTCGATGTACTTGAACGCAATGGCAAAAATGCGTTTATAGTCCTCCGTGGTCAGATTCGAAATTAAAGCAGGCAGTTCTGAAAGACTGAATAGCAGGTCCAAGATGGGGGCAGCGGTAGCAGCGGTGGACAGTCGTGTCTGCAGAATGCTCAGAATGGGGCCCAGAAACCGTTTGATCGAGGCAGGAAACTCGTAGCACGAGACGATGAGAAAGTGCAGACACGGAATACCGGTCTTGTCCCAAGACTTGAGAGCCGAGATCACAGAGCTGATCAGTAGGTCTTCCTCTGTTCTAGAAAAAATCGCTTGGTACGCCGGAATGGCCGACAGTGTCCTGACCAGCGCGACCTGGACGTCTGTTTTCGATACGGCCACCGGCCTGAAAGACGACGGGAACCGCAGCTGCAGCTGATGGCAGAGCGTGCGAATCAGCCGCAAGATCTGGTCCTGAGACGGGAACAGCGACGAGTACGCCAGCTGCGGACACAGATGGCCCAGCACAAATGAATACACCTCCCAATCGACAAAGTTTTCGAGCGTTAGAACGACCAGTTCGAGCCAGTCACTATGATCGCATCGTTCGAGACACCTGTGGCTGCAATTTTCCAGCAGCTCGCGTGGCAGATATGTGAGGGTCTCGGGATACTGCCATTTCCAGCTCTCGTTGCGCGTATGGCCGGTGTCGACATTCCTTGCCAGGTTATGGCACAATCCATCCACGTTGCAGACGTCAACGAAGTGTATATAGTGGTCTGCGGGCCTGGCGCGTGCCATTAGCCTTGCGATGGTGAGAAAAGTGTCGTAGTCGGTAGAAATGGTAGAGGAAGCCAGTTCCAAGAGATAATCGAAAATGGCACCGGCTTTGCTCGTGTTGCGGGAGCTCTGGCAAAGAAATAGCAGCGAATACACGACATGCTGGGTGAACACGGCAGTGGAGGGGAATCTGGAAATGAGCAGCTCTAAGAGCTGGTTGTCTATGCGGAGCAACATTTTTGCGAGCGTGTCGGGATAGCGCGCAAGTTTCCAGAAGCCCTCATTGAGGAGGAGGTCCAGATAGTGGCTGAGAGGCTCGCGGTTTTCGCAGATGTCCAGTGACTCGAAAAATGCCAGCTCTAACACTGCAAGCACCTTGTCAGTGGTGCCGAACGTGCTCAGGAGCAACTCACAGTTCTGCTGCCAGTTTTCAGTGATGGCCACACACAGAAGCTCAGATTTGTAGCTGTCCATGACGTAGTCAAGCTGTGACTCCGACAGAAGGTGTCTATTTTTTTCAAATAGCCGGACGATGTGCTCGCGCCACAAGGGATTAGTGGCGGCCTGCAGATGGTCAAAAAGGCGCGACAAAGTCGACCTGTCCACGGCCTCCGAATCCATAGCCATCAAACAGTCCCAGAACCGCGCGTCCATAAATTGTCGTTGCGAAACAAAGCCTAAGTCAAACAGCGAGAGCACGATAGAGCAGATAGCGTTGGCCACGGCTGGCTGTGTCTGCGCCGGACAGCAAACAATAGCCGACAACAGAAGTCCACTAGCCGTCTCTAGCACGTCCGTGACCAGCCTGCCGACCTTGGATGTGTCTCCATAGTAGTCCAAATATGTTTGCACAAACACCAGACAGCCATACGCGGGTCTCTCCTCGGCTCCAATAATTTCAGAGCACTTGACAAACGTGAGCAGAGTATAATTTGGGCTGCTCAGAAGCGACACCAAAATGCCGTCAATTGTGTGGTCCAGCTGGATGTTGCCGAGTAGCTTAGCTCTGCCAAGAATGGCGACGATGTCGCGAATGCTGGAAGGTGGAACACTGCCGAGAGATATGTATGTGTCTATGATCTGGAAATATGCGGTGAGAGTGTCGATGTTGGCGGCGCGCGTGGCCAAATCCAGAACTTTGGAAAGCAATTTCGCAAGGTCCTTGGATTCGAACAGATTGAAATTGAATTTCAGACAACTGGCCACAAACAAGGTGACCTCTGTCTGTGATTCTTCTCGTTCGGGCAGGTTGTTTAGCGTGCTCCACAGGTACTTGAAAAACGGGTATGGCTGATATATAAGCAGGTCGTAAATGTCACGGCCCTCGTTTGTGAGCAATTTGAGACTCTGGACGCTGTAATCGATGTCCGACTCCAGATACTCGAGTATATCCTTGTAGTATGCCATTTTAGTCGGGGTTGAGTGATCGCTGGCCTCAATGCACGTGAGAAACAGATTGAACGTCTCCAGACGGAGCTGGGCCGAATTAGAAAGCTCGAGGTTTTGTTTGGCGAGAAACCACAGCTCCGGGATAGACGAGATGCTTACAGTCTTGATGGAGGAGATCAATTGGCGGACAGCAGCGATTTTCGCGCTAGTTGACCCCGTCTTGAGCGTCGCAACCAGATCTTTTTGATTCGTCAGGTCGGTGCCCACAACCGTCGGCTGCACGGCTATGGGCTTCGATCTGAAAGTTTTGGATATCGATTTGAACATGACATGGATTTTTTATGTATTAATTACAATTTTTTTTTCTGACACATCTTTTTTGATCTGTCAAAACATGTTGTTGTTTTTCCAATCACGACGCAAATGCCTAAGGTCTATAAATACCGGCGGCGCGCGTGTGCAAGGTAAACAACATAATGATGGACCGATTCATTGATCCCCTGTGCCAACTAGCCGCTAGCCCTACCGCGCAGTCGCTTACTTTAGGGTTCAGTGCGGCTATTCTGGGAGTAATCACCACGATGGTTACTTCCAACAAAGATCAATTCCGTGGAATTGATCTTTTACAGGAACTCATAGACATTGAGAACGCAAACAAGAACCAGACGCTTGCTAATTCGAAATACGAAGAGATGCTCGAGGTTTTCAGCGTGGTGCTCGCATTGGGAGCACTTTTTTTCGCCGTGCTCTTTGTTCTTGTTGGCGTGCTATTTTGGCGCCTTAGAACACAGAAATGGCTGCTGAGCGAGTTTCAGACAGAAATCGTAGACCTAAAGGCTTCTCTGAACCAATTCGTCGCCAAGGAAGATGAGCTCTTCTACAACATTTCTGTTCGGTTGCAACAGGAAAGCGATACCCTGAACGCTAACCTCAACACGGCGGTGAAGAACGGCATGTTACAGATCGAGGAGATAGTGGCAAAGTTCCAGACAAAGGCCAAGACGTATCGCCAAAGCATCAAGAACGAGCTGCAGAGGTTTGACACCGTTAAGGAGGTTTCTGAGAAGACGGAGCAGAACCTCCACAAGTTTGAGTCCTCTCTTTCAACCTACACTACTAAGATGCAGCAGCTTGAGCACCAGTCTGCGAATCTCAAGAAAACAGTTGACCAGTACGTTTCTCAGGTGGATATCAAAGCAGAACTGATGGATAAGGAGCATGAGCTGGCTAAGATCCAGATGTGCAAATGCAACCTGATGCTCACGAACTCGCAAATTTTACTCGAGAAAGTTCTAGGGAACATGGACGGGAGCGCTGATTTGAGCCTTAGCGACGTCCTAAAAGATCTGGACCACAATTTGACGCTGGACTCGGACGCTTATTTTAAGGCGTATTGCGAGTCCACCGATCTGACGCTCGTGGATATCAGCAAGAAGCTCGAGACAGTACAATCGACGTTGGGATTGCACGACGAAAGCATCCAAAAGACCCGCAGCGGCATCGAGGACGCCAAGCGGGACATGCGCGAAGAACTGAGACAGTTTACAAGCAGAAACGAGCAGTGGGTGTACAACTGGATTTCTGTTCTGTACGGCCTGTTCACGTCAGACATTGCCCAGCTGCAGATCCAGCTGCTCGGGTTGGACGACCTAGACTCGTTGCGCAAGCTGGAGGAAACAGGAGCGTACCTGAAGGACGAGTGCGTGTTCATCGAGAACTTTATTTTTGAATGCAAGAAACAATGTTTCAGTCTGCTTCGCGAGCTCAGTCTGCTGCTTTTCGAGTTCTATCTGCTCAAGACCGACTATCTCAGCCAGGACCAAATCCTCCAGGAATGCGACACACGCATCGAGACCACTGTGGCAAGACTGTTTGAATTATTCCAAACCAGCTTGCAGAACTCGTCAATGAACCACAAAGACTCGCAAAACCTATCCACCATAATTAGCAAGTTCCAGGACAGACTGGTATCAGACCTAAAGCTCACTTGTTCCAACTTCAACGTCATTTTCAAACAGAACGTCGAGGACTTCTTCATCATCTTCAAAACGCTCAAGGAGATGGATGAGCGTCTTCCGAGCGACGAGGACTCCGTAATAGTGAACAACCGCCACTCATTTTCCGACGACGACGCAAACACCACCAGCAGCTCTGACTCTTGGGGCTTGGACGACGCTTCCGCTTACAAGCCGCTGCGCTTGGTCGAGAAGAGGACAGTTTCGTGATGCCGTCGCGTCGATCGCCGCCGGTAAATATTTTTTCTATTCAATGACATTTATTTTCGTCTCCATTGGATAATGGCTCGAATAATACTGCTGAAAAACAAAACAGTCCCCACGGATCCATACGATGAGCTGTTCAGCCAATACCAGTACGAGCCAGTGTTTCTGCCGTTGCTGAGACACTCGTCCATAAACGAAAAGGAAGTGAAGGAATTTCTCAAATCTGATCTGTATCTGAACGAGTACCAGGCACTGATTGTGACGTCCCAGCGGTGCATCGAGACGCTTGCCAAGCTTCTGCAGGAGCTGCGGCACGAGAAATTTGAGCGGCTTGACCAAATACTCAACAAGCCTTCGTACACCGTGGGCCCCACGACGTCTCAGTACTTAAAGAACTTGGGATTCACAGATATTCGTGGCGGCAAGGACGCTGGAAACGGTTCTATTCTGTCGGACATCATCATCAGTGACCCGATGTTCCGTACAAGCGCCAAAAAGGTGCTATTTCTCACGGGAGAAATACGCAAAGACATTATTCCGCGAAAACTCAAGTCCATCGACTTTAGTGTCCTCGAGCTCGTTTCCTACCGCACAGAACCTCTCGAAGATATACAATTCAGATATGAGCAGCTGTCACAGACGGCGCCAGAAAAGTCGTGGCTGATATTCTTCTCCCCGCAGGGAACAGCCGACATTGTGAGTATTCTCAAGGAGAAGAAGCATAATTTTCAGATTGCGTCGATCGGCCCGACGACAGAGGAGTATCTTCTAGACAATGGTATCAAGCCGGCAGTGGTGTCGTCTAAGCCAGATGCCGAATCGTTATTGTCCTCGATAATGAACTATGAACATGCTATTTAGAATGAATACGTCACCTTGTTGAGTTCAGAGACTACCAATAGGTTCTCGGAGCTATTTTTGTAGTCGAGCTCCATCTGGATCTGGAAGTCAGACTTGTTTCTGATTTCTACCCGCGGCAGTTCCAATTTACCCACACGCAGCGGCGTGAGAACAAGATCGAACTCGTAGGCGGCACTCTTGTCCTTCTGGAGGTCCAGTTCGAGGTCAAGGTTTTTCAGTCCAGCGATAAGCCAGTTGTTCTCGTTTTCCACAAGATCCAGCTTGAGGTTGATGTTCTTTGGGACTTCCGGCTCGTTCTGGAACCGCACTTTTTTGTTCTCCTTTTCTTCCAACTTGAACAGGAGAACGTGTAGCGACAACCGAGTGTGGATCGGTTCGCACACTAGATACTGCAGCTGCTTGGCAAACTGAAACTCGACAATGTTGATTGTGTTGATCACAGGGAGCGTCACCACTATGTTCAATTGTTTCCAAGACGCAGAGATGAGCTCTTGTTGCACGTCCGGAGAAATATCGTAGCTGCGGCCAAAAAAGCCTCGCAGCTTGTCGGCAAGACTCTGGGCGTCGGCAGGATGCAATTGCGAGAGCATCTTCTGGTGGTGTCTGGTCTCAAACGGGTCAGTTTTGATGCAATTTGTCAAAGAGTAATGGTTGAGCCTTGGTTTCTGTGCCCTGAAAAATGTACGCAGAATATTGGAGTATTTGATTAGTTCCGGCTTTTCGCTCAGAATCTCCTTCTCTAACATTTTCTCGAGTCCAACAACTATCTCGTCCTCGATGTCATTGTAGTCAATCTGCAGGTTCAGACTCTCGTCGCTCAGGCTCTCGATCTTGTAGAAAAAGGTCGATCCTTGGTCGTTGAAAGCGATGATGTTGCGCGGCTGCTTCCACGTGACCACCTTCGAGTTCTGCGACGTGAGGTCTACCTTCTGAACCCTAACAGGGCGGTTGTGAATCGGCGAATTGATGGAATAATTAGAGAAGAGCTGCGCCGATTTGAAGATGTCCTGCACAGAGACGGCGATCTGGAGCTGCGTGTCCAGGTCTTTGGTGACGTACACAGAATGGTCGCCAAAGACCAGCCCAAAGGACAATGAGACGGTCGTATTCGACACCTCGGGCGGGAAAAAGTACGGAATTCGCACCGTCACTGTCGAGCCAGGCAAAAACGGGCCGTTGCACTTGAACACCAGCTGATCCTCGTCATTTTCCACCTCCGCATCAACAACCTCTCCGTCGCTCTCAACCACATACTTTGCCTTGGGCACCATTCGGTCGATATCTGTTTTGTGGAACACAAACTCGCAACGCGGGAGCTGCTCAGAGCCAACTCTGGCGACAAGCATAATTTCGTCCCTATTGAGGTCTCTAACTCGTGGAACAACGGCATCTATGACGGTGTTTTGAAGAACCTGACCGTTTTTGTAGAACTGCTCAATCGGATATGCAAAAATGCGCGAGTCGAGCGTTCTGCGGATTTCCAGCTTGCCCGACCGCACCACGATGCTGCGAGCTTCCAAATCGCCACATACCAGGTCCTTTGACTCAACCTTATAATTGTTGTACTTCTCCAAACGGCAGCAACCAAGCCGGAACTGCGTGTTTTCGAAATTCACCACAATCTCGTCCACGGGCAGCATGATTTTGCTGGTAATCCGCACTCCCAGCTCGTACGTATCGACGCCGGACGGGTCAATGCAGGGAGCAAGGTCGCAGTCAAACAGGTCGGTGGACTCAAACACCACCGGGTCTGTCAGGTTGTCGAGGATCTTGGACAGTTTGTCGGACTCAAACGGCTCGTCTTTGGCGACAAGCTCCAAATACGACGTCAACAGCACGGGCAGCACATCCTCGTACGTTGCACTCAGTTGCTCAAGATTGGCAATAAATATCTTCAGGATGCCCAGCGTAATGTACTTCCATTCGGAGTTTTTGAAGTAGGTGAACGAGTCGTTCAGAATTTCCAGAGACGTTTCCAGATTCTTCATGTTGTGGAAGTATATCAGTGCGAGCTCGGTCGATAACGTGTCGACGGTGCGCGGCCGGGACTGTGCTTTGGAATAGTCTTCAATCACTTTCTTCGTCTCGTCTATGGCGTGCTCCTGGAACTTGCTTTCTGACTCCAGGATGCTCTTAACGGCGTCGTCGAACGGCTTGTATTTTTCAGAATGCATCGGAACGTCCACCAAAGAACCAGCAAGCGTGTAACCCATGCAATGCGCGAGTTTTATCAGCTCGTTGCGTCTCAAAATGCGGATGTCGCCCAGTTTCTCGTACAGCTCTTCTAGGTCGTGCTCGGCGCCGCCCAGTAGCTTCTGGAGCTGTGCATTATTCAAAAAATCAGTGATCAAAACCACCGCTATCTCGTTCTTCTTGTATCTCTCGTCGAGCGACTCAATAAAACGCGAGAGTACCTGCATCCATTCCATCTGGGCGCGAATCATGAGAGCCTCGGTCGTCGCGGTTTTGAGCAAAATGTTCACCGACTGCTTGTAGAAAAACGCCTTGAGTTTGAACCTGGACTTATAGTCAATTTCTGGCGTCTTGTCAGCAAGTGGCAAGTCCCCAAATGAACAGCTTTCGATCCCCTCGTCGAGGTCCAGTTTATCAACTTTAGCAAACATATCTTTGTAACAATGCAGCGCGTCCTCCAACTGTCCAATGCTCATAAATAGATGGGCAAGTTCGTTCATGCTGTCCAGAGTGTCACGCGAGCGATAGTACGCGAGTCGGTGGCCGATCGACTCGACAAGCCCTATTTTGACCGAGTTGGCCAGGCCGGCCCAGGCTTCCTTCTTCTCGACCTCAGACGGGTAACTTGACTTGATTTTGAAGATGTTGTCGAAAGTGAGCATTTCGTCGGCAAAGTCCGTTTTCAACTTGTTCAGCAGGTTAGTTTTGAGCAGTTTTTCTGCCCTCGAAACGTGCGAGGTGTTCTCGTATAAAATAATGAAGTAGACAGACGTCGGCTTGGCCGACTTGACGTTGTTGAGCCATTGTTTGACCACAGGCCGCACTCGCGCGCGGTATTCGTCTATGCTGGTGCTGCTGATGAAAATGAGATTAATATACTTATTATCTGTGGACTGGACGTAGTTGAGTTTTATGTTACTGAGGGTGCGCACCGAGCTGGCGGGACCCGGTTTCCAATGGAGCTTATCAATCCGTGTGATGGTCTCAAGGTCTTTCTTGAGGTGCGCGTAAAGCGAGAACGGGTCGTAGTACCCTATTTCCAGCGGAATAGGCGCATCTAATTGGTCCATATCATCAAGATCAAAAGATATTTCAAAATAAAAAAAATAAAGACGATCGACTCGCGTTGGAAATTATTTTCTTTATTTTATTTACTGCAAAATGCCATCGCAAGATAAACACAAACGGGTCGCTGCCAATCCCGAACTGAACCCGTTTTTGAGCAGGGCATTAGCGAGAATATACGGCGATGATCCATCTGTGGAGATGAGATTGCCAGAGCCGTCTGTTGCCGAAGATATCGAGTACTGGAAAACGCTGGCCGAGCGGGCCAACATCCCTATAAAAGATCCTGAGCCGGAGCAGGAGGCTCCAGAGGTACACAGGGAGAAAGAACACCATGTTGCAAAGTCATTGAGGAGCGTATTTCGCAAAGATATGCCCGCAACAGAGGTGCCTTTGAAACGCATTCCAAGAACTCGCAAGGACGATTTCGGTTGGTACCGCGAGTCGAAAAAGCGTTATGCGAGGTATTTGGCAGCTTCCGCACGCGAGGAGCGCGAATTGTACGAGCAGATACACAAGGAGTACCTTGCGGAGCGCGAGAGTCTGAAAAGGCTTGAGGAGGACGAACATCGGGTGGCCAAGCTTGCGCAATTGCTTCGGGAAGTTAGTGAAGCTAAGGAGGTGGATGAGCCAGAGGAAGGATGGAAAGTGGAGAAAAATAATAAAAAGGAGCAAGAGGAGGAACAAGAGGATCAGGAAGAGAATGACGAGGGAGAAGAAGAATCTGACATACAGCAAAATCAGAGCGCACACTCGGACAATTCTATTGAGGTGATTGAACTTGGCTCTGAAAGCGAGCAGTCGGAGCAAGAAGAGCCGCAGGGCTCTGAAGACCAGCCAATGTCGGCGCGATTTGCAGGGAAGCGGCCTCCTCCAATTAGCAACTACGTGGTGAGCAATTATGGCGAGAGTGAAGACGAAAGCGGCGAGAATGAGGTTTGGAGCGAAGGTAGCGAGGAGGAGAGCCAATTTGGCGAAAGTCAGGCAGAGGAGAGTGTTGAGGAAAGCGAGGAGGCGAGTGAAGAAGAACAGGAAAGTGAACAGGCAAGTGAACAGGAAAGTGAACAGGAAAGTGAACAAGAAAGCGTGCAAGAAAGCGTGCAAGAGCCTGCTGAAGATAACTTTGATTCCCAAGTCTCCGAGAGCTCGTCTGGCAAGCCGGAAACACAGCAACCTCTGGAGCTACAGGAAATCGACCAGATTATGTCTGAGGCAGATAGCATATTGAACCAGCCCGTTGCGAACGAATCCATTTATTATTCTTATCACGAAAACGAGCAGCCCACTGAAGTTCCAGACTGGACTCAGATCGCTCTTCTAGCTCAACAGGAGACAAGCGTCTACGAAGACGAGGTCGTTGACGAAACCACACGCATAGAGGTTAAGGCTGAGGAGACAGCAGAAGCGGAGGAAATAGAACAGCCGGAAGAGTCAGGAGAGACGGAAGCAGCTGAGGAGCAAGTTCATGAACCGGGCGAATCCGAGCAAGCTAACGCCGAGGAATTGGAGAATGCAGAAGCGTTTGAAACCGCTATTATGGACACTACCGAATCTGAGCCGCCTGCTCCAACCAAGAGAACCAAAATCCCTCCACCCGTGGAGTTACCGAAACGAGTGCCAAGTCCAAAGTCTCCAAAACTGAACCCTGGTTTGTTGGATCTTTTGTCAGGAGCGTTCGACTCGTACAACAAGGCCAGCGAGGAGAGCAATCCAATGGTGTCTGAGAGTGCCGAGAAGTCTGTGCATTTTGTGGAGTCCAACTCCGACATTGACGCGCAGAAAGAGGCCGATTCCAATGCGATGGATGCAGAGAGCACGAGCATCGAGCATGAGGAGACAGCGATGGAGGCCGACATGGTAACGGCTACGGAGGGCGAGACCGAGCAATCGCAGGAATACGACGCCGAATCGACGTATGTAAACACAGCGTACGACACGGCGATGGACTCTGCGGTCGAACACCTCGAGTCTGGCGACGATCCCGCGATTGAGGTGGTGGCCGAATCATCGGTGATCGAGAACGACGCTGGCGACGCGTCGATCGACGACACCATCGACCAGGCGGCGTATGCGACGGCTTTGCTGAACACGACGCAGGCAGACGACGACACAGAGTCGGTACTCGCGAATCAAACAGTGTACTACGACGACGAGAACTCGGACTTTGAGGAACTGATGGAGCCGGAGCCCGCAGAGTCGCTGGCCTCTGACGAGGAGGTGGCAGGCAAACGAAAACACGAAGAGGCAGATACAGAGCAGGAGCCGAAGCGCGCCAAAGTGCAGAGCGGATTGCTTGGAACGCTGGAGCAGTTTGCGTCGGGGGCAATGATGGATATTTCGACGCCGGAAATTGATGTCAGGGGGGACGAAGAGTGGAAAGAAAAGACTGAAGAGGAGGAGAAGGAGGAAGAAAAGACGCAACTGGACGAAGAGGCGGACGAGGATCAGACGCAGCCTGCGGATGAACAGGCCCAGTTGGATGTTTTAGACCACGAACGTCAACCGATTGCAGATGCTGAGCCGGCAGGATTTTTCAGTTCTCTGAGAGATTTTGTCTCTGGCGCGATGTTGGAGATGGAGAGTGATGTCGACCGGCGGGATGTGTCTGAGGATAGCGGAAAACAGCAGTCCGAGGACAAGAAACAGATGGAATCGTTTGAGGATCAATCTGAGCTTGAGGAAATTGCAGACAAGGAATCTCGTGAAAAAGAGGCAGGAGAGGATTTGGAAGCACAAGAGCAGCTGCATGAGGCTGCTGATAAGGAAGAAGCAGAAATACAAACACAGCATAAAGATGAGCAAGAGCGTGAGCAAGAGCCGGCAGAGCCAGAGGAACAGACGGAATTTATTCACGTCCCTGCAGCGGAGTCTGAAGAGGAGCCAAGCGAAAGTTTGGCTGCACAGATTGAAGAAGAAGAAAATCCAGTACAAACAGAAGCAGAATCAGATAGTACAGAGCAACTGGATATAGAAGCTTGGGAGGACGTTTCTAAAGACATTCCTGGAGCAATTTCCGAAGAAGCCCCTGAAGCTCTTGAAAGTAAACAGGAACAACCAGCGGCCCAGACACTTGTCAAAACATCGCCTACGGACGACGAATCTAGTCTTGCTCCTGACTCGCAAGTTGCAAATTTGGGCTCAGATTCTTTGCCTCCAACACGCGGCTTCCTCGGGCTGCTCGCGGACTTTGCTTCGGGGACGCTAGCCGACATTTCCCCGAGCGGATCTGACATTGAGCTACATGAGCATGATCCGGAGCTGGAGCAGGCAGAACAGGCAGAGGAGGCAAAAGAGCCACAAGAGCCAGGAGAGGTCGCAGAACCGACTCCTGCGGACGCCGAGTCAGAAGTGGAGCTCGACCAAAAGCCGGACGAGAAGACGGCTATTCACAGACAGCCTTCGCCAGAAGGATACGAGGAACCTGTGCAAACTATCACGGTCAGGCCTGACCCTGCTTCTCCAGAGGCTTCGCCAAAGCCCTCTCCAAAACTTTCCAACGCCGATGTGCCAGAGAAAGACGTTCCTGTCATCCATGTGCCTGCAACAGAACCAGAAATCACCGTCAAGCCAGAACCTCTACCGTTGTCCTTGGGCGACGTGCCTCCTTTGACCGCACAGACGCACTCGGAGTCGGAGCGGAGCAGGGACTCTTCACCTGCAAGACGGACGAGAGGTCGGTCTCAAAAGCGCCACAGCTCAGAACCGCGCGACAGCGAGAGCTCAAAGAAACAACGGCGCGTGGTTTCCGACTCTGAGACTTCGCGCAAACCAAAGTCGCGCCCGTCGTCGAACGGCGACCGGCTGTACCGTGCCAAGTCGCCAATCAAAATCACCAGCAGTGGAATCTCGACGCGTAGCGGCCGCGTGCTCTCGTATGAGCTGGAGCAGAAACGGGGGGAGCAGAGCAGGCCGCCGCCTCCTGCTACTTTACCCAAGGCGGTGAAAGACCTGGTGGAGGAAGCCGAGTTTTTCATCGAGGAGGAGAAAGCCAAGGAACTAAAGGAACTTGTTGACGAGGCACAGCAATTTGTTGAGGAGCCTGTTCCGGAGCTCAAGGTGGAAAAAAGACGCAAGCCAAAGAGCACTCCGGAACCAGAGCCAGAAATTTTACCAAGACGGACGTCGCGGCAGACAGGCCGCGCGGCTGCTCCGTCGGAGCCTCTTGCGCGAATCCCGCCTCCGCGTCGAACTCGTAAGGCGCCGAAGGACAAGAAACCCAAACCCAAATCTAAAAAATAGCTAACTTAATATATTGTACATTAGATATTAGTCGTATTCATCCTCCTGCTTCTGATCGGCGGCTTCCTGCTCGGCAACCGCCTCACAGGCATCCACCCAGTCTGAGTAGATGTCGATCGGCTGGGAGAGTGAGTTTATAGGCGTCTGGAATGACTGGCCACAGACTTTGCATGATAATGAGCCGATGTTGATTTTCTTATCCATAGTACAATTTACCGACTTTTCGTGGTTGCAAAACAGACACGAGAACTGTGTGTCGAGCTTCTGTTTCACCTTTTTGACTGGGGCGGCCTTTGTCTTGCGTTTTCCCTAGTTGTTAGCGCATCGCAGGACCCATACTCACCATTGAATAAAAAGAACAAGTGAAATATTATTATCGACGGGACGATTTATACGTGAAATATTTTCTAATTTTTTTAAATTTTTTAGATCTAGAGGCATGCCACCAAAGAAGACCAAGAAGACCGCTGGCGCAGCCAAGAAGGGCAAGAAAGTTACTGGCACAGTGGTAAACACAGACACAAAGGTCCAGAAGGGCGTTTCTGTGAAAGATGGTGCTGTGAAGAAGGCTGTTAGCGAGTTGATCAAGTGGAAGGAATCGCAGAAACCTGAGAAGCCGCAGCTCTTTGACGACGACGAGGCCAGTTTGTACATGCAGTTGACCAGTGTCAAGTTCTTTAGCAAGAAGCAGGTGCTCAAACCTACGGCTGTGGCTGTTCCGCATCCTGTGCACGATCTGGAGAACGAGTTCAAGGTCTGTGTCTTTGTCAAAGACGGCCAGATCGACGCTGAAACTCTGGAAAAGATTGAGCAGGAGAACATTCCGCATCTCGCCAAGATTATCTCTGCTTCTGAGCTCAAGGGAGCCTACAAAAGCTACGAGGCCAGAAGAAAGTTGCAGAAAGAGTACGACTTGTTTTTGAGTGATGAGAGCCTGATCACTGCTCTGCCGAAGCTGCTGGGCAAGATTTTCTACTCGACATCAAAACTACCGCTACCGATCCGACTCAAAACCAAAGAAAACGTGTTCTCGGTGACCACGTTGGCCAATCAGGTGTCGAAAACGATCCATTCTGTCCATTACGTTCCTCCAATGGGTGTGAATCTTACCATCAACCTGGGCAGTGTCCGCCAGCCGCTTGACAACATCGTGGACAACGTCCAGGCTCTCACACAGCATTTTGAGAAACAGCCATTGAAGACAATCCAGTTGAAATTGCTGGAGTCGCCAGGACTGCCAATCTATATTGCTGAGCATATATTCAGTGAGCAGGACATTGGCGAGGAGGAGAAGCCTGCCAAGGACGAAACCCCGGAAGTGAGGCTGACCAAGTTCGAGAAGGGGCTGGTGGAATTGGCTCTGGACGAGGATCAGGCGCGCTCGATTGTGGGGCGTAAGGAGAAGAAGGTGAAGAAGCTGAAGCGGGGGAAAGAGAACCAGAACGGGGGCGATTCCAAGAGAAGAAAATAGTGTGCTAGTTAGTAATAAAAATGTGCTATTTTTCCAAGTTTTTGAATTATTTTTTTTGTTTTACGGCTGTGCAATTAACTCATGGTGACTAACACGCTCGTGGTGACCGATCAGTATCTACTGGACCAGGCGAACAGCGATCTTCTAGATGAGTTTCTTGCGAGCTTACAGAAGTGGGGTGCCGAGGACAAATCCGTCTCGATTTCCGTGCTGCGTTCTCTGCGTCGGATAGTCATCATCTTCGACACGCTCGAGACAGCTCAGAAGGTGTACGAGGTGCTGCAGAGCCAGGGATTTCGGGTCACCTACTCTCGCAGGAACTCCGCGCGCTCAGAGTCACAGCTGGAAGTGCCTGCGCGGCTCGAACCCCCGGAACGCCGCGTGGAGTTGCAGTCGCCGCCGCCGTCCCCGTATCTGGGGTATGTGCAGGAGCCCGAGGAGCCGCCGGAGCTGATCACGATGACGGAGCCACAGTCGTTTTCGCATTTGCTGTACCAGCCGACGCACGACGAGGCGGCCAGAGAGCGTGTATTTTCCGGCCGGGAAGAGGAGCCGCGCGTTCCTTTGCTGATAGTGGACCGCGAGGAAGGCGAGGCGTTACGGAAACGGCAGCAGGAGATCGAGCGGGAGAAATTAGAAGAATATAAACTATCTGAGAGATAGCACCAATGCCAAAGTCGCAAGCATCAGGGCCTCGGTGATATATAGAGCGACTTTTGGCTCGCTTTTCAGCGTCAGAGTGTACACGGTGAGGAGGCAGGTCGGGGCGGCGACGCTGAGTGCGCTGCGTATCAGCGCAAAGCAGCCGAACAGCTCTCCGTTGCGGTCGGGCGCCTGGTTGTACTTGAGCACCGTCGAGTGCAGCACGGGGTCGAGAATGGACCCGAATCCCTCGAACAGGAAGCTGGAGAGGAACAGCGACGGCGACGCGGCACAGATCATCAATAGTCGGCCGACACTGTTCATGAAGACGGCAAGCAGCATGGCCAACTTGTCGGTTGCGTCGATTATGGTGGTCTCCTTGCGGAAGTGGTGGGCGAGTTTCCTGGAAAACCACGGGTTGAACACGAGCAGGACGCTTGCTCGGCACAGCATCGCGAGCCCGATACAGAAACTGAGGTCTCTGGATGACCACTGGAATTTGAATTTGCCGTAGATTGTCCAGACGATGCCTGCTCCCATGGTGGCAGAAAACATGAGGACTTCGATGATGAGGAGTTTGACGACCGTCCAGCGCGCTGTCCAGTCGATGTTGCCGCTGGCGTCGCGTCTGGTGACCCACAGCAGGCGCAACGTCGAGCCAAACCCGTTGGCAGGCTTGGAAATACTGAAGGACGACATTTTCCTGCTGGACCGACGCCTGAGTTTCCGAGACCGCGACTCCGGCAAAAGTATCAACACCAACACAAGATCCAGCGCGTGCACGAGCACAGACAGCGCGTAGATATTCAGCATCGGCAGCGGCAAAAACGCCCCAGTCATTGGGCCCAGAGTGAGCCCCATGTAGAAAACAGCCACCAGAACAGCCAGGTACGTTTGCCGCTGCGTTTCATCAACAACGTCGATCAGATAGCTGTTGGACAGCCCTATGGTGACGGGCAGCGAGCCGGCCAGCGAGCCCAGAAAGTGCACCGTCAGACACCGCGCTGGCGTGAACCATGCCTGATCTGCTTGGAAAATCAGCAATTTGAGACACCCGGACACGACGTAAATGAGGATGTTGTACACGAGCAGCGGCTTGCGTCCATACACGTCGCTCAGGCGTCCTATCTGGACGCTCACAAGAACGGTGCCGACACCACCAATCAGGTTCTGCCACCACTGGATGCGCGTGCCCAGCTGCTGGCTTGCTGGCGAGCCGCAGCTGATCATCCCGCCCGGATGCTTCCTGTTGTAGTAGTGGCACGCCCCGTCGAACGTGAGGGTGAGCTCCTGGCCCTGCTGGATGCCTATTACGAACGCCGTGACGAACACCACGGCGCAGATCATGAACACCGACGGTCTCTTGTGCCATACCAGTCTGCGGTGGTCTCGCAGATTCTCCAGCATGAGATCCATGTCCGATTGGTCGAGCTCGTCGTCGCTGTCGCTGGCCGCACACGTGCCGCGTTCGGGCATGCTGTGTCCGGTCTGGCGAACCGCAATCACGTCCTCCAGCACGTCGTCCTGGAGATACGCATCAACCATTGGGTCATCGAGCTGCATTATGGGGCTGAGCGGGCTGTGACGGCCATCCCCTCCAACGTATTGCCGTTTTGGCGAGCTGAGCAATCGGTCTGTCTCCTGGTCCATAGCAATGCAAGATTAGAAATGCAGCTAAATAGCACGGCCGATTTATTATTGACAGTAATTTTTTTTATCGCATCTCCTATTTTTATCACCACAAACCCAATGGGGGACGAACCAGCGGCAAACAAGCCCAGCCGCGCCACTGTGAACCCCGTGTGCGTGGCGACGGTGACGCGGTACTTTGACGGCCACAATGACCCGGCCCTGCTCAGTCTTATGGTCGACGATATCGTGTACGTGCTCAACACCCCAAACTCCCGGTGGTGGGACGGTATCCTCATCGACCCGATCGGAAATGTCACGCGTGGATGGTTCCCGCCCTCGCACACGCGCATCATCCAGCAGGGCACACCATTGCAGCCGTCGGTGTCCACAGCACGCGACGAGCGCAGGACGCTCGAGTCGCTCAATTTCCCGAAAAACATCTCCTTCTCGTCCACCGCCTCCGCCCAGACCCCGCACAGAGAGAGCTTCCAGAGCACGCGGTCCGGCGACCGCTCGCAGTCGGTCACGATGGCGTCTGCCGAGGAAATTAACTCGTACTTCTCGCAATCGACGTCGCATCCGAGCTTCAACTTCCTGCCCGTCTGGGTGCCCGAGATCACGCAGGACGACGAGTTCGTGTACCACAACAGCGCGCTCAACGTGTACGCGAAGGAGCTGCCGCTGATTAGTGCCGACTACGTCGACCACGGCTCGGCACTGGAAAAGACAGACCTGTCCAGGTTCAACGGGCTGGATGTGGTGCCGATCGACGCAAAGGAAACCGCGGCAGACTCCGAGTCGCAGGCAGAACGCACATACGACCAGCCGCAGAACAGAGACACCATCGTCGACTGTCTCACCGACACAAACGGCAAACTGTGGCACAGCCCAGACATGTTCTACTTCTCGCCCATGGACGTCACCAACTGGCCAGACCTGTACAAAAAATTCCGGTATCTGGTCAACATGTGTTTGGAGGCAATCAGCAAGAACTCGCGCGAGCTGTTTCTAGTGCATCTCAACAGCATCTCCGAAACCGTCACGCTATTCCATCTCGCCAGCAACATGGGGGCTAAGGACCTCGAGCGCAACGGCGTCGCCGACAGCGTGCGCGAAAACCTGCGCAAGATGACCAGCTCGCTCTCGCAGCTGGCCATCAACGGGAACCTGCACTTTGTCGGGTCGAAGCATTCGCAGTACTATCTGGGCGGCGACGATGCGGTCGACGAGGAGGCCAGCAGCACAGACGAGCCAGACCACGGCAGCCAGACTTCGCACGGATCCGAGACGTTTTTGCGTCGCGCGGAGCGCGACACCGTTAAGCTTATCAAGCGTGCGGGCTTTCTCAAGGAAACATTTTTGCGGCTGCGGTATTCGAACCAGGTGGACGCAGAATATCTGCCGTTGGTGTATCCGCGCTTCTTCAAGGGCCGCTTCCACGCAGGCAATTTTGCAAACCCGTTCGACGACCTCGGCAGCTCTCTGCACAGCTCCGAGAGCCTGTTCATCGACCCTCACTCGCACAAGAACAACGTTCTTCTTGACGACGAGGCCATCGAGTATCTGACCGACTACAAAACCAAGGCGTGCGAGATCCTCGAAAACGTAGTCCAAGTGCTCAGCACGCAGATCCCGAGCGACGTGAAATATAAAAACTTCATCGAAGACCGCAACCTCAACATCGTCACGCTTATCTACCATAGCGTGCCGTCGCTGAACCGTTTCCTCAACATCCTCGAGTCGATCGACTTCACTATCTTCATCATGGTCAACCGGCTCGCGCGCAAGGAACGGCTGCGCAACGAGCGAGTGGCCGAGGACGACGACCCGGAAAGCGCGAACCGGCTATTCTACGAAACCACATCCAAGCAGCTCGAGCCCGTGCTGACGGAGTTTGTCGAGCTCAAACAGTCTTTCCACGACACGCTTAGCGACCTCATCATGGACGCACAGAACATCACCGTCGACGACCCAGAGGTATTCGAGGGTATGAAAGAGGAAGAAATGTTCTACGACAAGGCTATAATGTCGCTCAAGACAGAGCAGTTTTCGCGCGCCCTCGTGGCCAACCTCAACGAAAAGGACTTCAGAGACCTCAACGACGGCGAGTACCTGTACGACTCGAACTTGAAACTGCGTGCGACGATCTCCAAGGCGCTGGAGCAGTTTGACCTGGTCATAATGTCGACGACGCAGCTGAAAGAAGAACGCCAGTCGATTCTCAACTACTGCACGCGGCTCATGAACACAGACTTCAGCGTCGCGTCGCTATTTGTCGCCGAACGTCACAACACCATGATCTCCTCGCTGAGCCAGTCAGAGTATAGCTACGGCAGGCACAGGTCACGTGACACAGAGACAGAGCTGCCGTGGTTCTTGGACGCCGACGACGAGGAGCGGTCGGTTATTTTTGACATCAACGGCATCAAGGGCGGGCCGCCGGGAGGGCTAGTGTCCCGGCTGGTGAACCCGACGCATGACAATGATGACGAGTTCAAAGAGACCATGCTGGCGATGTTTGTCACGTTCATGACGCCGGTGGCTTTTTTCGACGCGCTCATGGACAGATACAACGTCCAGATGCCCGAGGGGCTTAGCTATGAGGAGTACAGCATTTGGGTGGAGAAGAAGCTCAAACGGCAGCGCGAGGAGGTGCTACGCACCTTCGCCAAACTGTTCAGCACCGCGTGGTTGGTTCAGTACAGTTCTTCGGAGCTGCGCTCCAAATGGGACGTTTTTGTTGACAGCAACAATGTGGATGTCAAGCTTGCGCAGCTTGGGCGGTTGGTGATGGCGATGAAGACGCAGGACGAGTGGTTTGCTGAGTTTGGCCACGGCAACCCGGAGCCGAAGCCGTTTGAAGGCCGGCCGCCTGTGCCGCTGATGCTGGGCAAGACTCTGCGCAACACGAACAAATTGCGGCTACGAGACATTGACTCGATGGAGTTTGCGCGCCAGATCACGCTGATTCAGTTCGAGCTCTTCAACAAGATCGACAAGTTCGACCTGCTTGCGCGGTCGTACCGCTTCAGCCGCATATTTAAGCACCCCGAGCCGGTTGGCTCTAAAAGCATCGCCAATTTTGTGCGCAATTGCAATGTTATCACGCATTTTGTCATCTACATGATCTTGCGCCAACGGGATATCCAGGCCAGAGCAGAAAACATCAAATATTTCATTATTGTCGCCGATAAGCTGCTAAGACTCAGGAATTACTCGAGCATGACGGCAATTATTTCAGGGCTGAGCTCGACGTCAATCAGCCGACTGAAGAAAACCTGGGTACTTGTGCCCAAACACTTGGTGGCCAACTTTGAGAAGATGGACCAGCTGATGTCGATCGGGAAGAACTACAGTGAGTATCGCAGCATCCTGAAATTTGTGAACGAAGACCCAGAACCGTGTCTGCCGTTTTTGGGCATGTATTTGTCGGACCTGCGGTTCCTCACCGACGGGAACTCCGACTACCTACACAACAACCGCAATCTTGTGAATTTCGGCAAACGGTTGAGCATCTATCGCACCATCCAAGAAGTGATCAAGTTCAACTCTAAAGCCTACCATTTCGAAAAAATCGACGAATTATGGAGCTATTTCTATGATATGTGGGAGCAACTCCCAGACGACGACAAGCTATACAACATTTCGCTGAAGCTGGAGCCGATGGTCAGTCTGGTGAACCAGCAGGACAACGAGAAACGTGCACGAGGAGTGGACGCACGTGTGTTCAAGAGAAACGTTCCAGCCCGCTTATGAACCAAATTAATGTATGAATGCTTACTGTTTGGCTGTAGCTTTCTGTAGCAGGTAGCCGTTGATTTCTTTTCGCAGCTGGAGAGAGTCCTTTTCGCAGGTGTCAATGGCCCGCTCAAACGACTCGTCGAACACCGTAAAGTCGCTCCAGATGCCCAAAATCTCGTCCTGGCCGCTAAAATTCACCGCCATTTCGTGCTCCGCCGCGCCTGAGTACCCGCACGAGGCCACAGACCGAATGTTAAGCCCAGAGTCTACCAAAGCAACACTCACGCCATTAATAATGTTCTTGAGCGTGTAAACCAGCGAATGGGCAGGGTTCAGCGCCACAACCTGCACAAAGATCTCGATCGAGGATTTAGGGTACTTTTGCAGAAGGATTAAGCTCTGGAAGTTGGATAGCATAAACGATTCCAGTGACGCAACGACTCTCTCCTTATCAGGAGTAACATTCTTTCTATTGTCTTTAAGATTGTCCAGTGGTAAAAACTTTGACAACTCAACGCTAACCTTCAAGCTGGCCTGGTCGTTGAACGATCTTGTGAAATTCGGACGAGGTCCGTAGATAGACGTAATTATGATGGTCTTGTCGTTCTCCAAGTACGACGATCCGCTGCAATTTTGTATGAGTCCGGTCTCCAAAAAAATCTTTGAGTCTGTGTGCTGTGCAGGCGGCTTCGACTGGGCGAAAACCAGCGGCTTGACATTCGCAGGCCCCAAATTTCTTCTTCTATCAACGTTCATTAATTAAAATAATTTTTTGTTATTTTTCCCATGAATCAACTCCAGGATTTGATAAACAGTGTCGGCACAAGTTCTGTTGCACAAACAGTTTTGCAAAACGAGCACGTGCGGAATGCATGGTCTGCTCTGCAGGAAAATGAGCGCTGGCTTTTCTACGGCAGCCTGTCGCTCGCTGTGGCTCTGCTAGTAGGCAGGTCGCTTCTGAGCCAGCCGAAGCCAAAGAAGAGAAAGAAGTCGCAAAGGGCCAAGTTGACAAGACCCGAGCAGCCAAATCTGAGCCCGGAGCAGCAGGCGCAGCAGGACATTGACGCCGTTTTGCGCGATTTTGAGACCAACTACGTTCCGGAGATAGACAAGTACATCGAGGGTGTGGAGCAGGAAATCGCCAAACCAGGCCCGTCGAAACGGAAAGGAAAGAAGTCTGCAAAGAAATCGGCGGTGTCGTATAAACAAAAGTTTGAATACCAGTATCTGTACTTCAACGAGAGCTTGTTGAAGCTATTGATGAAACTGGACTCGGTGGAGATCTACGACAACCAGGACCTCAGAGCCAAGCGCAAGCAGTGCATCAAGACCATCCAGAAGTACTTGAAGAAGCTGGACTCCTACAAGCCGGAAATCGACAAGCTTACCAAAAAGGGTCTGTAATTTTAGTTTTGGCTGTGCCAATTTTTTTTCAATTTTTCTCTAGACGGCATGAAAGAGAACCTTATTGGAAAACTGGATCTGCTGCAATTCAAATACGAGAATCTGGATCCTCCGCGGTTTGCTCTTTCTCGCAAACTGGCAAAGTCCAAAAAAGCGCACCATGTGAAGCTGCTGACGCTCCCCGAGGACCAAGCACTGAAGATGATCAAACAATTGAAAAGAGAGCTATTCGAACGTAAATACCATTCGGCATACTCCAAATTAGAGCGGCTTCTGGGCGGACAGATCAAGCAGGTGCTCAAGAACAAGACTACGAGGCCAGAAGACCGGAGAGTGTACGAGAAGTTGAAGAATGAATTGGATACGGTGATTAAACAGAAACTGACCAAGGTGGGGTCCAAGATATTCCATCGCGAAGAGGTGCGCGAGGTCCCGCCAGAGTCTTTTTGGGCAGACCGTGAGAAGCTTAAAGGGCACACGTACGAGACAGAACTGAACAATCTCGTATCTAAGTTGTTCAATAAAAACACAGTCAAAGAGGTGGTGCAGCAGACAGAACATAACTTCAAGCTGGTTCTTGGTGTTGACAAGAGGGAAGCGAAGACTGAGACCGCCAAACGGAGCGAAAATGAGCAAAAAATGCTGCAAGACGAGTCTGACGAAGCGAGCGTTTCTGAGGACAGTGAGAGCTCTGACGATGAGAAATTGGACACGATCTATTCAACCTACAAGTCTATGGTGGCTGGGTCGTCTGATGAGGATGAGGGCGAGCTTGAAGAAGGTGTAGACTACAATCAGCTCACAGACCAGGAGCCTAGCGAACAGGCGAGCGAGTCTGACGACGATCAGCCGGACTTCGAGACGGCAAAGGCAGAGCGCAAAAAACTAGACAACGACGACTTCTTCAGTGAGCTGCAGCTACCTGCTCTGGCCGGCGGGTATTATTCTGGCGGAGAGGACGAGGATGAGCTGGAGCAGGCCGAAAAGGACATGAAGCAGCTGGCCAAGGAGCGCAAGAACAGACGGGGACAGCGGGCCCGCCAAAAAATCTGGGAGAAAAAGTACGGCAAGAATGCAAACCACATCAAAAAGGAGCGCGAGCGGGTGCAATCTGAGAGAGAGAAGCAGCGTCTTGCGTACGAGGAACGGGTGCGGAAGAGAGCCGAGAAAAAGAAGCAGGAAGAGGAGAAGAAGAAGCAGGAAGAGGAGAAGCGGCGCAAGCCATCTGTGGCTGACAAAATGCATCCGTCGTGGGAGGCCAAGCGGAAGGCCGAGGAGGCGCTGAAAAACGTCAAGTTCCAGGGAAAGAAGGTGAAGTTCGAGTAACGAGGTGTAGATATAGAATGGAAAAGAAAATTCACAGCCTGAAAAATATTTTTATGTTGAGGACATTGCGACTGTTACGTCAAATGAGCTCTTCCGTTCCACAAATTCAGCTCAACAAGGTTGAGACACAAATTGTCAATCTTCTGAATGAGTACACGCGGTACTTCAACGAGCACAAGACGTCCTCCACGCAGCAGCCTCTTGAGCTTCGAATCACCGGGGGGTGGGTCAGAGACAAGCTTCTGGGCCGCGAGTCGCACGATATCGACATTGGCATCGACCATTTGTCCGGCGTCGAGTTTGTGACGCAGTTACAGGAATATATCCGGGCGCAAAACGGCGGCCAGTCGGTCAACAGCGGCATTTACAAGATAGAAAAGAATCCAGAGAAGTCCAAGCATCTGGAGACCTGCACCACAAAGCTGTTTGGGTTCTCGATAGATTTCGTCAACTTGCGGTCTGAAAAGTATGCTGAGGACTCCAGGATCCCGGAAATCGAGGTCGGAACGGCCGAGGAGGACGCTTATCGTCGCGACGCGACTCTGAACTCACTGTTCTACAACCTGACCACGGGCCAGGTCGAGGACTTCACGGGCCGCGGGCTGCAAGACCTGCACGATGGGATTTTGCGCACGCCGCTGGACCCGCGCAAGACGTTTTTGGATGATCCGCTCAGGTGCTTGAGACTAATCAGGTTTGCATCCACTTACAACTTCCGCATCGACGAGATGGCGCTGGCTGCCATGCGCGAGGACGAGATCAAAAAGAAACTGAGAGAGAAAATCAGTAGAGAACGTATCAACGTGGAGTTCAAGAAGATCATCATGGGCAAGAACCCGGTTTACGGTCTGCGGTTGATCGAGGACGTGGGCTTCTACCAGCTGTTTGAGTGCGAACATCCTGGCTACGAGGCTGGAAATGAGGCTATGCGGACGGCCTTGAAGGAACTGGTGCAGAACTATGGCCATGTCGAGCAGGAACTCGGTAATAACGAGACTCTAAGCCGCTTACTGGATGCAGTCTACTCCTCCGATATCAGCAAACAGTCATTGTTCTTGAACCTGATCCTTTATCCGTGGAGGGACAAGAAAATAGTGATGGGCAAGCACAGTGTTCCAGTACCGAGCCAGGTGGTCCAGGACGCTCTGAGAATGCAGCTCAAGATCAGAGACCTGGTTGGGCTGTGCTGCTCCACGCTCGAACAATACGGCTCTACATACCTCCAGTGGAACAACATCGCACGGTCGGAGCTTGCAACGACGCTGCTTATTCCCTACAAAGAGGAATGGCGTCTCATGCTGCTCACCAACATAATCGTCTCAATTTTCAAAAATCCTCAGAATATACACAAACACATCGATAACGGCGTCAGGTTCGTCAACTACGTGGAGTCGCAGAATCTTCAAGACGTCCATAACACCAAACTCCTGTTCAACGGCAAGGAAGTGGCGACTGCTCTGAATAGAAAACCTGGCCCATGGCTCTCGGAGGTGAACGCCAAACTACTGACATGGCAGCTTGACCATCCGTCTGGCACAAAACAGGACATGGAAGCGTACCTACATAGCATATCGGGATGATGAGACTTTATTAGCAAATTACTTAGATCTTCTCCTCCTTGACACCGTGCTTCCAGATAGCAACAAACGGAGTGACACCGTCCTCTCTGTAGTTGAGCAGAACAATCATTCCGTCTGGGTCCATGGACTCACCGGTGAAAAACTCCCAGTCGTTGAAAGAACCAACAACCTTCTTGACGTAGGAAGTGGCACCCTTCTCAAAGGCCTCAACCTGGTCTGGAGCAGTCTCAGAAAGGTGGGCCTTGATCTTCTTCATGTAGCCCTTGATGTAGGTCAAGAACGACTTCTTGTCGAACTGGGTCTGCTGCAGTCTGAAAGAGTACACAACGTTGTTAACGGTCTCAACACCGTCGTCCAACTCCTCAGCGCCGTCCTCAGCAGATGGGTTAGCACCAATATCGATGTCGGCACCAGCCTTGACTTGCACCATCTGGCAGTCGGCCTCGTAGATAGCTCCATCAACCTCCTTGATGTCGTAAGCGTCCGAGAGTAGCTCGTCACCGGAAATCACGTCTTTGTAGATAATCATGTTAAGGAAGCAGGGATAATTACAATGGTGGAATGAAAAAAAAAATTTTCATCACCGCATGGAGGAAAGCTGGCTTACGTAAAAAGCAGATATCCAGAAATGCCTGCTATTCAACTGCAACGCACTCCCCTGTCATCTCCGGATCAACAATCAATAGTAACACCTTTTCGGCCACATCGTCACAGGAGAGACGCGACAATTTGACTGCGCCCGTGGTGACTTTTTTGCCAATGTCTGTCTCCGGCATCAGTCCCGGCATGATCGTGTTCACTCGTACTTTCTTGGACTTCATCTCAAAGGCCAGCGTCTGGGTCAGTTTGTTGAGACCGCTTTTGGAGACGCTATATGCTGTTGTTCCTCGCGCGCAGTCTCGTGCCAGCACTGAGGAGATATTCACTATGTTTGGGTTCTGCAGACGCAACATGTTCCTGACGAATAGTTTGCTCAGGATCAGCGGAGACGTGAGATTGACATTGATGATGTCCTGAATTTCCTGGCTGGGCGTCGACATGAGTAGGCTGGACTGCGAAATGCCCGCACAATTGACCAGGATGTTGGCTGTTTTGAGGCGCTCGTGGCTTTTCACCATCGACTCGAGGCCGCTTGGGTTTCTCAGATCGTATGCTACGTAATCGTGATTTTTGGCATGTGGATAAGTCTCGTTGAGTTCTTGGGCTCTACGTTGGAGAATCTCGAGATTCCGCGATAGCAGCGTTAGCTGGCACCCGTGAGAGCCCAATTTTCGCGCAATTGCGTAGCCAAGTCCTTGGGACCCGCCAGTGATAAAAGCGTGTTGGCCAGAGAGCATGGAGAAAAAAAAACGTTAATTTTTTAGATCAAGATATATTTTTTATCAGCATGCAGCTATTTTCCATGCTGACGTCTGCTCTCACGTAGTTGAACAATTTTGCCGAGAATCCATGCTGTTGCATAGCGTGTGCACGGCTCTCGTCGATCGCTCGTCTGGCCTGGCGCCCGATCTCTGTTCTGTCCCTCAAATTAAGCCCCGTGAAGTGGTCTGCCCCGTCGTTCTCGCTCATTCCGGGCCGGACTCCACTCGTGGCCCAGCATGCCATTTTGCACAAATAGAGAAACTCCTGCTGTCCAACACCAAATTTCTCCTTGAGGTAAATGCGCGACTCTTCGAGCAACCAGTTATATTTACAAGCGTGGCGACAGCACATAGCCACCAAAAAGCCAGAGAACTGGAAATTGGGATCTTTCCGCGCGTTCAGCAGACACCGCAAGGTGAGGTCTGTTGCTGTTCCACATAAATGCTTGGAAAACCCAACAACCTTGCCCGGAAACTCTAGGGTACTGACTGCCGCCGCCAAGTCCAAGTCCTTGATGTCAGTTTTGAGCCGGGTGACACCAACTGCACCCCTGGTGTGCTCCTCTCTCATTTTCGTGTCAAACTTCATGCGCGGCGACTGTCTGTCGATCAGCAGCACCTGCTTGTCGCTTGCCACGATCCCTGGATCCGTATCCAGTGCCCGCAGAAGATACCTGGCGAACTCGCCGCGGCCGCAGCCGAACTCCACGTAGATTTTTCCGTCGCCGAGCAGCTTTTCGTACGCCATGTGGCCAATGAGCGAGGCCTGCTGCGTCACGTGCTTGCGGTTACTGACCTCGTTCATCCGCTCTTCGAGCCCGTATTTGTAGTCGATCTGGTTCATTTCAAGATCTGATGGATACAACTGTTTGCAAGCGTCCCTAAACCGGCGCACAAACGCCGCAAACTCGGTGTAATCCAGCGGACTGTTTTCCAGCGCAGGTTCTCCTTGGACGTTAAAGTCCACCACCAGCCAGGGAAATTTGCTCACATTGGACTCAAAATCTAGCTTCTTCTTCAAAGTGTTGCAGGTTTTCAGATGACGGCTCAGCTTGTCAGACCAGACCGTGTGGGACGGGTCTAAAGGACACGGGACTCTGGTGACGGTTTTCCCGTTTTTGGTCTTGGAAAACAGCTTGCCCTGCGGCAGGTGGTTATAGCAATACTGCGTGTCGCTGCGAAGCTGCACTCCGCACGGCCGGCCCTTGTTGGGCAGAAAATAGGGACATCGCCGGATCGACTCAGACATGGAAAAGTTTTAAGGCTGTGAAAAAGGTTTACGCAACGGAATGTTATTCAGTGAATTCAGTGATCTCATATGTATACATAAGAAGAAGTTAGGGAGCAAAGTGGGTAAGCTATTTCTTGGCCAGGTTGTCCTCGAGCGTACGCACGTGGCTCTCGAGCTTTCTGATGCTTTTCTGGAGAAGTAGGACGTCGGAAACGACAGCGTTGGACGAGGACTTGTACTCGTCGAGCAGATAGTAGTATGCACCGAATCCGGTTATGGACACGCCGGCAAAGAAGCCTAGCAGCACGCCTCTAAGCGAGGTGTTGGATCTCTTGACGGGAGTCGCCACTGTGGACTGGAGTCTTCTCTGGACAATTGGTAGCATGTTGGGGTAGACGGAGATAAATGACACTGGTCTGCTTAGCTTGGGGGCGAATTGGTCTGAATCAAACAGGCGGCAGGACAGAAATGCAAATTTAACGCAACAGCTAGCCGGCGTATCACGCTTGTTGATATGTATCTTCTCCACTTAAAATTATTGGCTGGGAAAAACCCATCTCCGTTCAGAGCCGGGTAAAAATACACAAACCATGAGGGAAAAATTTGGGGAACAGAGATGTATTATTATTTAACACTAACCGAACAAGTCGAATCCCATGTCGTCGTCAGACTCCTCCTCTTCCTCAGCAGCGGCAGCAGTGGCCTCCTCGGCTGGAGCAGAGGAAGCAGCAGCGGCAGGAGCAGCAGCAGCGTAAGCATCTGGGTTGGCAATTCTGTCCTTGATAGCCTCAGATCCCTCGAAGGTGTAATCAGTAGCAACGGAAAGAGCAAGGATGTTCTTGTAGTTGTTGATGATCTGGTGGGACACAGCTGGGATGGTTGGGTAGCCAGCAGCCAGCGAGATTTGGGTGATGGTGGAGATGGCTGAGACAAAGTGGCCAACCAACTCCTCATCGGTGATGTCCAGAATGGACGATGGGAACACCTGGCCATTGTCGTAGACTTGCACAACAGTCAAACCGTACGTGAAAGGCGAGATGTTCAGCATGTTCAAGAGAGTGGCCTCGGAAGGTCCGACCTTCTGGTCTTTGGTCAAGATCTTAACGTCAGTGGTAATCTCAATGGTACCTCTGGCAATCTTGGTTGGAACACCCAAAGCCTGGAAGAAGGAGGTCTTACCTGGCTCCATACCCGTGTTACCGGCAGGAACATACACATCGCCTGGTGCAATGGCACCGGCTCTGGCTGGAGCAGCAACCTTGTTCTCCAAGATGACGTTTCTGATGGTCTTCAGATCAGAGTTGGTGAAGACAAATCCGACGTTACCTCTGACGAAAGGCATCAGCTTTTCGTAGTCTGGGTTCTCGGCAATGAATCCTCTCAGGGCTCTTCTCACCATGGTGTTCTTACCCATAAGAACGACGGCATCTTTTCTGAGAGCCTTTCTAATCTCGTGCATTTGCTGGGAAGAGACGTTGTCAACACCAACAATGAACACAGACTTGTACTCCTCAAGCAGCTGCTTGAGCTTGGAGAAATATTCGACCTTCTTTTCCTTGTTAGCTCCCATTTCGTTTCTGTTACAACGTTAGGCTTTTTAAAGCTAGATGAAGTTATTTCCTGGCTGAATTTTCTGAAAAATTTTAGAAGGGCACCCAGCCCAAAAGTATGTCACGTGACCCAAGGAGGAAATTGTTTATCCTCTGTGATCCTCTCTAATGGGCCTGCACAAATAATTGTCTCCCCAATTAGAACATAGATTTATCCCGCTATTTTATTACCATATCATGAACCGTTGCCAGCTCGACACGTTGCTCTTGGAGCTTCCGTATGATGATTTGGGACTTGCACTACTACAATTCAAGGAGCAGCTCAAGCTGAACGAGGGGTCTCCGGCGTTTCTCGAGACTGTATTCCCCCGTCTGGCAGAAATACTTGATAAGTTGGTGGTTCCAGGTCTGGAAAGCTACGTGAGTGATTTCAGGAAAGATATCCTAGAAAGCTCCTGCGACGTCATCTGCTGGTTCTACAACACGTTTTACTCACATAGTCGCAGCGGAGGCACCGAGCTGATCAGCCCTGATCTTACTATGGGACTGCTTTCTTCTTTCTGGACCAGAATCCCAAATTTCCCGCAATCCCAGCCCGACGGACTTGGACTGGTTACCTCCACCATTCAGATAGTCCTCGAGACAGTTCCCCGTACTACCTATGACGACATCTTCAGCTGGCTCCAGGACGAAGAGCCACCAAAACACTCTGATGCCGCTGTGGACGAGTTTTTTTTTACCTGTGTGCGATCATTCACGGCAAGAGTAGTTCTCGATGAGCTCGAAACGTTAACACAACGCGGTCGATGTTTTTCTTGGACGCCAAAAGAGCTTTTGAATTCTGTTCTCGAAATGTACGAGCGATGGAGACCAGCGGACAGCACAGAAAGAGGAGAGTACCTTCTCGATCGCGAACTGAGCATCCTCAAGAAATCTGCCAGCTCAGGGCCAGCTACCGTCATCCGTGACTCGCAATGCTCACCAGTCACGGATCCAAACTGCTACAAGTACTTTCTTCAACAGGAAAGAGCGAAATATGAGCAGCAAAAAAATCCGGACTGGGTGCAGATCTTTGAGAGTTGCCGAGACGCTGACTCTGCAAAGTCCAGTACTTGTTCTAGCACTTTAAGCCCTGTTGTGTTCGATGCGTCTGACTTCCAACGTTTCAAAGAACCTAAATCAAGATGCAACATTTTCCGCAAATTGTTTAGAGCCACAAAGCCCCTATTCGTTTCCCGGAAGATTGACCCAAACCCTCCAACATCAGGTCAGCTTTCTACATTCTCTACTATGAGATACAGGTTTCTAGACTGGTTTTGGAGCTTTTGGTATCCAGTGGACGAGCACGAGGAGCAAAAGCTCGAGCTCCCATATTCTTTTCCCAGTTAATCCGCATTTATAACTCCGCTAAGCTATTTAGGCAAGTAGTTCTCCAACTATATCGCTCATGGAGTCGACTCCCCAATGAACTCTTGACAGCTGCTTTGGTCCTTTGATAAAGGTGCTGTCTCTAACCTTATGCTGTAAAAAGTATTGCAACCCTTTGAGTAACGTGGGTTGTTCCTTGCATTTATTGATCCGCTCGACCATTGTCTTGTCGTTATATCGCGTGTCTTCTGCCTTGTGCTTTTTGTTGCCGGCACCAAAGATCTTCTGCTCTGACAGCTTTCCGACACTATCAAAGAAACTAATCATAAATATCTCGACAAATAATTTCGTATCTTCGCTAGCAGTGAGGAAATTGACAGTTCGTAACACGTTTAGCGGCAAAGACCCCTCGCCAACAAGAGTGCCGAACAATCTTCCCAGATTGAGTATTTTCTTCAGTTTTTCATCTTCGTCCGGTGTGTCTTCGAAATCTTCGTTTTCCTCTCCTTCCAACTCTTTAAGGAAATCCCACAAGTTGAACTGGAACGTCTTTCTCATGGCGTGGTCCCCACAAAGCTTTTTGGCAACAAAAGCGTAATATGGATTGAAAACAGTCTCAATGGAAGCACAATGCATCAAAATTCGAGGAATTTCGCGTTGTTGGGTCTTCTTTAGCCGCAGTTTCTCCAACTTGACGTATGCATCCATGTAATCGCTAGCGGACATGATGGATATGAAAATCGCACGTCTGATGTCCGTGTTCATTCTATGTAGTTTAGCAAGTTCCAGCCAGTTCGGCTCAGACTTGTCTAGCGCATCGATCACAGACTTTGTAGACTCTTCGGTTTTTTTCTCTTCTCCTTTCCAAGCAGACCCAACAAGCCACCATTTCCCCTTTTCGTTGATGTTTTCTATATCATTCAGGGTCACTTTGATAGGATCGGCACTCCTAATTCTTCCCAGCTGTTTTTTCAGTCTAGTTACTAGCTCCGAGGTGGCCTCGTTCTCAAGATGCTTCAGCTTGTTGTTCTTCAAGTTGGAAACAGTTTCAACCAGAAACTTGGATCTGGTGCTCATATCAGAGCCCACGTTCTTGTTTAAAGTAAGAACAATTTCCTTAAGCGAGGTAGGATCATCCGAGCGGAGTTTTGAACCGCAGGATCTGATCACCTTTAGCAAGAGCTCCGTCCTGAATTCTGTGGGGGTATCTATCAGCTTCTGTCCAATCACGTCATACATTAATCTGGAAGAAAGCAGATTCAGTTCGTAGCAAAAGGAAATCAGCCCAATCAGGTTCGAAGCCTCCTTATTGGAACTTTCTGTCTTCACATACTCGCAAAGCTTTTCAACCAGCGTCTGGATCGCATACGCGCCAAAGTCGACTCCCTGCAAACGGTAGAGCGCAACAATAACTGTGGCATAGAGAACGAGAAAGCTGTCAAGCATTGGTGTCGAAATCAGCACCGATTGGAAGACCACCTTGATTATGGCTTCGTTGACGATTTTGCGGGCATTTTCAGTATACAATGCATTGAGGTCATTCACGACTGTCAAAAGGTTCGCCTCAGACAGTTTGTTGAACGGACCCTTGACAAAACGAATGATGTTTTGCATCTCTTCACTATCGTCATTTTCAAGCATCTTACGACGTAAAGCCGGAGGAACATACTTTCCTGCAGGAACTGGAGCAACGTACGGATTTTCACGCACAGAAGGGCCAACATCTGAGTCTGAATCGCTTTCAGAAGTCTCCAATTCACCCATTTGTTTCAACAGCTCTCTGTCCTCTTCGTCCAGAGAGTCCGTGGTGGAAGCTTCTTCCTCTTCCTCTTCCTCTTCCTCAGACCCTAAACCATCGAGTTCGAGACCATCTAAGAGCCCTCCGATGGTATCGTGCTCGTTAGCTTTTTTGAGTTTGCTATTTTTCTTGATGCCAAGCTTCTTCGCGTAGTATTCGAGATCGTCGTCCGTTTTATCAAATACCTTGGGAAACGTCGTTTCATCTCCAGATACCTCTGACTCCGTGTGCGATTCATCCTCTAACTGGTCTAACTCTTCCTCGCTCGAACTGTCCTCCTCCAGTTCATCCACCTCGTCTTGCAGGTCGTCCTCCTTGACGATTTTCAAGTTGCTGCCCTTTTTAGCTCCTTTCAACTTCATCAGCTGGGCCATCACATCTTTCTGGTCGTCATCAAGCGATTCGTCACTATCGTTATCTGACTCCTCCTCCTCAATTACTTCTTCATCGTTAAACCCTGTGAACTCTTCATACTCTACCCCTTCACTTTCGTTCAAGTCGCTATCGTCAACTTCCTGCTCTTTTTCCTCCACAATTTTGACCGTACTATTTCTCTTCTGCTGCTTTCCTTCCTTCTTAATATCCCAAGCACCCTTAACTTTCTTCAATGTGCCCATAACCGCCCTTTCCTCTTTGTGCCCCCCTCGCTTTCTCTTCTTCTGTTCTTTCTGCTCCTTCCGTCTCTCTTTACGGCTGATCTTGCGCTTTTGCCGTTTAAAGCGCTCATCATCATCATATCGGCCACTTTCGCGAATCTGATCAATCAAAGCCGCAGGGATATTCACCCCGTGCCGGTCTCTTTTACCCATCTTGATCAAAGATTTTTCAAATATTTTTTTTATAGGCTGTGCTGTTTAGTGGCAAACACTTCTAACAATACTTCTCCTTAACATGTTCAAAAAAATCGATCCCAAGCTCATCACGGACGCGGTCTTTTTCGTCGGTGCCTCCCTTTCCATATTCTATCTTCTCACGCATATTCTAGGAGAGGAAGGGCCGGCACGGACGTCAAAAGAAACTAAGAAGAAGGCCAAGCTGTCCCTTGAAAAGCTGAAGCGTGCCAATCCGGGCCTCAATCTTGAGCTTTCCGAGTACGAGAAAGTGATTCTCAACAGCGTTATTCCTCCAGACGAAATTGGTGTTTCTTTTGAAGACATTGGAGGCCTCGATAATATCATCAGCGATCTACAAGAGTCTGTGATTCTTCCATTAACGTGTCCCGATCTGTTTACTCAATACGCCTCTCTGTTGCAAGCCCCTAAGGGTGTGCTTCTGTACGGGCCGCCAGGATGCGGAAAAACGATGCTGGCCAAGGCTTTGGCGTCCAAATCAAGAGCAAACTTCATATCCATCCGGATGTCTACAATCATGGATAAATGGTACGGTGAGTCCAATAAGCTGGTAGACGCGCTGTTTTCGCTTGCAAACAAGTTGCAGCCATGTATCATATTTATTGATGAGATCGACTCGTTTTTGCGCGAGAGAAACTCGATGGACCACGAGATCACAGCAACATTGAAAGCCGAGTTCATGACGCTTTGGGACGGGCTGACGTCGTCGGGAAGAATCCTCATTTTGGGAGCAACCAACCGACCTGACGATATCGACTCGGCATTCATGAGACGGATGCCCAAACGATTCCCTATAAATATGCCGAACGCAGAGCAACGGCACAAAATCTTGGAGAAACTACTAGACAATGTGGACTACGATTTCGAGCTCGACAAGCTCGTGCAAATTACAGATGGCATGAGCGGCTCCGATCTCAAAGAGCTGTGTCGCAATGCGGCAATCAACTCTACCAGGGAGTTCATTAGAAACAACGTGAGAGACGGCAAACCAATCAATCCGAAAGAACAGATAGTGATGCGGCCGCTACGTGTGCACGATTTCATTGAAAGCGTGACGCCGAGCGACTCGCTTATCAAGAAACTTGACAAGCTGAAGATCGACCCTGTCGACTGAAGTCTACGCAGATGTGCCAACGAACCAGCCACGAAACCATAGATGCGATTCCATGTACGCTTGCCATTGCAAGAGAATTCTCCTTGGACGTTGATCTAGACATCGCTTTGAATCAATATACCACATGAACGGTATACGGATCTTCGAAGATGTCATTATGTTTTTTTTAATAAAGAAAATTTTCTGTACATATATTGCCTGGCACAGCTGGTCGCACTGCACAGCCGTGTGTTTTTTATATATCAACGTCTTAAGTTATGTGCTCTTCTTTTCTTATTGTACGCCTTGCTCTGCACATGCACGTAGACCACATGCGTGCCACCAATGACTAATGTGATGAATAGAAGCAGCAGATTTAGCGGAATGGGGTTCATCCTGAACACCGTGTGCGTGAGTCTGTCTAATGGAGACTGCAGGAAGTTGAATATACCAGAGATGGTCATGACTGAACCGTACACCGTTCCAAAAGTCTCGAAACCAAACACTTTGGCGCAGTAGTCCGATATGGAGGTGTAGAAGAATGGCCTGTAGCACACAAAGATGAGAACATTGATAACTCCGGCCACAAAAGAGTTTTTGATGCAATTGAGCACACCGATCAAAATGGACACTGCAAGCAGAATAAACATCACGAGCGAGGTCGAGCAGCCGTCCAAGATGCGTCCAATAACAGGGATTGAGAGCACGCCGCCGAGAGGCAGCGCAATGTCAAAGACTTTGTTCAGCTTGGCAGACTTTTCGTATGAGCCAAGCAAATATGTGTACTGCGAATTAACGGTTGCAACAAAATAATTCAGTCTGAGCATCTGGATGGTTGCAAAAAGACAAATTAGCAGGAACCAGTATGTTCTGAACTGGTAGGAGGAAGGGTAACCGTGCAGGATTCCGAAGACAGAGTTGGGCGTTGGGGTTGTGACTTCTTCAAGCTCCTCCTCCACATAGGCCGATCTGTATGCCTCTCCTAGCGAGGACCGTCTTTTGGCTGCTCCTTGAACTGCCAGAAGATGCGTGTTCTCGTTCACCTCGTGCAGTGAGTCCTCGCGCTCCAGAGCCTCTGCCAGCCGTTGCTGTTCCTCGGTAGGGTTTGGAATAAGGTCAACTGGCGGTGTCAGATAAGACTCGTTTGGCATGATGAAGATCTCCGCCAGAACGATAAAGAGCGGGATCACGAGGTACATTTTGTAGAAAGTTTCGATTTTCAGGGCCTCTGGCCATCTCGTGTACGCAAATTTGTACACCAAAAACACAGCAGAGGAGGTGTCAAAGGCTCCGGTCAAAAGTGCAAGAATTAATCCAGATTTTTCAGGAAATGCGTTAGATAGCTGGAAGCTCGAGATAAAGGAAAATGGGCCGCCCAGCGCCATTGCCGCGTATCCCACCAGGTAAGGGTCAAACCAGGTGATGGATTTGGAGTAGATGAACACTAAAGAGGCAAAAAGCATGGATGTTGCGCCTATCAGTCCGCACACTCTAGGGCCGTATATATCCAGCGTTCTGCCAATCAAAAGCGCACTGACGTTGGTCAGAACCGCGCCGGTAGTGAACATCATGTTCAGCTTGAGATCCTGTTCTGTGCAATTCGGTATGAAGCCCTCGGCTAGGTAATCCTGGGAACTTAGGTTGCATACGTCCTCGTAGACTTTCTGGTCGACGAGAACCGGCTTGAGAGCGGCAAAACCGAAGATTGGGCCCGCTCCAAAGAGACACCATATCACAGCGCATGCCACCTGGGCGATTCTCTTTTTGGTGGGTGTTTCAAAAAAATACATGGCTCAATCTTTCAGGTGCTCAGGCGGGCCTAAATGCATATATATTTTCTCTGTGCTGCAAAAAAAAAAAGCTGCAGATATGAAGGCCGAAAACGGTGAAAAATCGAAAGATTAGATAGAGAGACTTGCACCGGGCTGAAAGACGGTATTTTTGAGAAGACGTTTTGGCTTGATGTGCTTCTTGGAAAGCTATGCTTGGCTGTCTATACACAGCAGCTTTGCCCCCGGAAGTCCATCAACTGTTGCCTGCGCCAAGCGGCACACGACTGGCTGCATGCGGAGGTGAATACAGATGATCCCGGCTCCCTCGAATCAGGCAGGATATCTTTCTATTTCCAGCTGGGGCCGCTGTGGCAGCTGCCAGAATGACGGAGGATTCCGCGCTACCTGGTCCTAATTGGCGCACTCTTCCGACCGGCACTCCGAGTACTCTGCTGTGCCACATTGCTGTGCCACAAATATTTTTTCTGGACCCCAGACATTATTTATTTATATATGAACGAGTACAGTACGTGTGGTTCTGCCTTCTACTAACAAACAGCCATTTCCGTCTCGCCTGACGTGGTCACGTCGCTGCAGTACGCATCTGAATGGCTTGTTGCGTCATCGCTCGACGGAAAACTGTCTCTGATCGACGCGTCGCACAAGGTCGAGCAGATCGCCCTCGACGCGCCTATCCTCGATACCACGGTCTTGGACTCCGGAATCTACTCCGCCCTAGCAAACGGCACAGTCCAGAAGCTGGATATGCGCTCACGAAAAGTTTCCAACACCCCTATCGCGCATAATCTTCCCGTGCAGTGCGTAGAAAGCCATGCCAAAAGAAACCTAATTATCTCCGGTTCCTGGGACAAAACAGTGCAGCTGGCCGACCCGCGCGTTCTCGAACAACCGTCGGTGATGGACTTGCCTGGAAAAGTATATGCAATGGATGTGCACCAGCAAACAGATCGTTTTATAGTGGGCATGTCCAACAGACAGATCCATGTGTATGACTTCCGAAAACTGGACCGGCCCGTGAGCAGCATGGAAAATGGGTTCCGTTTCCAAACTACCAAAGTCAGATTCTTGCCCAACGGTCGCGGGTTTCTGCAAAGCTCGATAGAGGGCAAGGTTTCGCTGGATCTTTTCGAGGACGCAGAAAATAACTATGCATTCAAATGCCACCGTCAAAAGCTCGTGATTGAGAACGAAAGCGTTGATCTGGTGAACCCTGTCAATTGTATCGAATTTTTCGACACGGAGTCGCGCTTCTTCACGGCAGGATCCGATAGATCGATCTGTCTGTGGGACTACAAGACCAAAAAGAGAGTCAAGCAGTATGCCAACTTCGAAATGAGTATAGTCGCTTTGGCGTACAACCAGGATACCCACCAGCTCGCCATAGCCATGAGCGACGACTCGTACAAGAACATGACCGGACTAGACGACCAAACAAACAACAAGCCCGCCATACCGTCGAAGATTACAACACGAAACATGCATTCATAATTCATAAAAGTACATCATTTATCCGTCCACAGAATCGATCGATTTCACCGGATGCAAGCTGTTCGACGACTCAATGCTTTTGTTGCGCCTGTGCCCCACCGTATCCTCCATCTGGTCGTCTTCATCCCAAATATCCCGAATACAGTACCTTATCCAACGCCGTCTTCTCACCTCTCCTCTGATTTTTTTTTCGTTGGTAGTCAGTCCTGCCTGGTACGAGAACTTGGTCACAAGATCGTAGCACCATTTCTCGTCCTCGTCAATGTCCATGGTCTCATTCAAGAAGTTTTCTTTGATCCACCCTTCGGGAGTCAGATCTAGCAGCCAGCCATCGACACTCCTCGTGTTGACCGCCGTCTCCACATCCACAAACCTCCATCCCTCGGGCGGCTTGACCTGGCTCAAGTGCAGCGTGCCCACAAGCGGCAAATTGTTGAGCCGAGTATGCGAGTTTGCCGGATACGGGTCGGACGAAAAACAAATGAGTTGCCAGTTGTGCGTCTCCGGATTCAGATGCTGGAGCTCAAAAATCTCCGTCTCCTTGACCTCTTTCTGCTCGCGCAGGTTCAGCTCCTTGTTGAGCCACAGCTCCAGACGGTTCGACATCGTCAGAAGCCGTAAGCGGGTATCCTCCGAGTAGAGCATATCCAGCAAACTGGACCGATAGTTGGGGTGCATGGCAATGGTGGCAGCCCACAGACCTACTGACAGCGTCACCTTGATGAAGGGCAGCATTGTGGACAGAAACTGTGCACCAAATAAGGTCAGTAGAATACCACTGGTCAACAGAGCGACGAAAATAAAAATGGTGATGTTCTCGTCCTTGAAATAAAGATATTTGACTATCAGCGACGTCACAAAGTCATAGCTCATAACGTAAAGTAGCATGTGGTTTTGCAGGTCTGTGAAGTTCAAAACAAACTCGCGACTCAGCTCAGGAACCGGCCGCGGCACGTCGACGTGCGAAACAGACGGTCCATCTGCCGGAACCGGGTTCCTGTTCTGGAGAATGGTGTGCTTGTCGGGCGGATGTCTTTTCATGTAGGCGGGAACAATGATCCCGAAACAGGTGTAGAAAAACGGCAGGCTCAAGAGCAAAATCGGCTTCAGGATCAGCAGTGTGGCGACATTTAGAAACGTTAGTGTGTAAAGAGGCTTGGACCAGCTGAAAATAATAATCACCTGGTCAATCAGCACAAACGGAACAGACAGCCGAGACAAGAGCTGAATCGCGTTCTTGCTCATGACATTCAGACTCAACTGTGGACGCGACTTCTGCATCTCTATTCTCTCTAAGATCGATTGTAGCTCCTCGCCGTCCTGAGTAGTCGTGGTAGGCAGGGCCATAGACAAGAATCGCTCGAACACTTTATCCGTCAACGTGGTCGAATGGTCTTTGGACGAGGCAAACATGTCGTCAAAGAACGAGCTGGATGCCCGCTTGGTCGGCGGGGTCTTCTGCGGATCCGAAAACGACGACCAAATCATGCTGCTGGCCGCCATCTTGGAGTCCTGAGGACTGTGTTTTGAGGCCACCGAGGCAGCGTCCGCGTCGCCGCCTGTGCTTGCCGTGGCCTGCGATAACGTGTCCCACGACGACCACAGGTTATTTACCATAGACTCCATGGGAAGAGTTGACAAATTATTTTCTGTAAACTTGCTGCAGACGCAATCACATGGCAGGGGTCGAACCTCGTGTTTCGGTTATGTCATCTCTTAGTCAGCAAGGACACGAGGTCGTGTTGCAGGTCTGTCTGTGCGCTCTTGAGGCTCACGAGCCGCAACTTGAAGTCGAACTGCAGCTCAGCGTGGCCCTCAAGCAGGAGTTTTGTCTCATGGCGCTCGATGCCGAGATAATCGAGCATGACGTCCTCGTTGGAGCCAAGGATCGGTTTGTTCAGCTTGAGGTTCTTCGTCTTCTTGTTGGCCACGAAGTAGCGATAATCGGCCACCAGGTCAGTTTTGTTGCAGACAACGATCATAGGCAGCTTCCTGTGTTTGTTGTTGAAGAGAATTATTTCGTGGAGCTTTGTTCTTGCCTCCTCTATAGTGAGTGTATCTGAGATGTCTATTAGGAAAATTATAAGACTTATTTGTGGATTGGCGATGATTTCGGTCCAGAGATGCTGAAATTTGTGCTGTCCGCTGGGATCGTGGATTTTGAGCAGGAGCTTGCTAGGAAGGGCGGGTTGTTTGGTGTTTGCGTCCAGCAAGGGCGTTGTTTCGGTGGATATTTGGGCTGACGTGGGCGGCGTGGTGACCAAAGCATGCATACGAAGTGTGGTGGTGGTTTTTCGAAGCGTGGGCAGCATGTCTGTTTTGAAGGTGTTGTTTTTGAGGACGCCGACGAGACTGCTTTTACCGGCGTTCCTCAGACCCAATAGAGCCACATCGAGCTGGTAGTACTGGCGTTAGTGGCTGTCCAATCGCAGGCGCTTACCTCTCGAGGCTGGACCCAGTTGGATATCCAGTCGCAACAAATCACCATAATGTCAGGGAAATATTATTTGGCAATAAATGCGGTGCGTTTGTGTATTTTTAATCTTATCTGAAAAATTTCCAAACTTGATGTTGCCATGTTCAGAACGAGGCCAATAAACGAGAGCGAGCTGGACAAGCGGCGAGAAAAGGACCTCAAAGAGTTCAACTTCCCGAAACTGTTCAACAAGGAAGTTGATCACGCCAAGGTCGACCGGCCAGCTCTCGAGTCGTACATCGAGCACAAGATGAATGAGCTGGTTCCCGACGACGACATAATTGTTGAATTCACAAACAATCTTGTATTTGATGAGAAAATCAGCCCGAAAGATCTTTGTCTGCAGCTGAAACCGATGCTAGACGAAAAGACGATGGACTTTGTCCACGAGCTGTGGAAAAAAATGATCGAGAGCGAGCAGGAGAAGAAAGACGCCTACAGACAACGAGATGAGCGCAGAGTAACACGCGTACGAGACGACAGGAACGAGGAGCCCCAAAGAAGATTCCCTGGTAAAAGCAAGTCCTTCAAACGGTCTAAATACAAAAGGTCCCATATAAATGGCTAAGCAGTCTATTTTCTTCTGAAAAGACTTCTGAAAAAGCCCTTTTTCTCCTTTTCACTGGAGTCAGACGACTTCTGCGGACGCAGCTGAGGCGTTGACACGGTCGGACGCAACGGGTCCAATTTCAACGACGTGCTGCTGTCCTGAGAGTAATATTTAGGGTGGCTGATGTCGAACTTGAGAGATGTCTGTTGACGAGGCCCGCTATTGTCACCAGACGAGTGTATGTGGATAGCAGGGATTTTGCCCTCTTGCGGAGACTTTGGCTGCGGACTGGTGTCGATGTCCAGAAGCATCGACCGTGAGCGGCCGTACATTGGGTCTGGTGCTCCTGTCAGCGTGCGCACCAGCTGTGCACTCTCGCCTCCGCTCTTTGCGCTCTCGGCAAGATTCACGCCGTAATTGTATGCTGCAGCAGATATGACCTTGAGCCAGTCCTTGTACTTGTTTTCGTCGTCTGAGCGTTTCAAAATGTCGGAAAGTTCCTGGTATATTCTCATGCTGGTCAGGTGTTGCAGTCGTTTGAGCTCGCCCGCAGGCGAGTCCGTGTTCGACTCCTCTGTCTCCTTCTGCGAGGCTATTGCTGACTCGTGGTCGCTCAGCTTGTACGATCCCACGTCCTCTAGCTCTGCCACGAAATTCGGATCGTCGTAGTTGTGGTGCAATTCGTCCATGCGCTTGTTGAGCACAGTAAATAGCTTTTCTTCGAATAAATCCATGTTCAGCGACGGAACAATCACCACAGGAACGTGGAAATTCTTCACCAGACGGTCTGTCACCCGTGACGTGACCCACGACCGCGTGGAGGCCGCCTTGGTCGGCTTCGCAGCGACTACCACCAGCGACGGCAGATACAGCGAGTACATGTCTTTCAGCACGTCCTTGGTGCCTCCAACGGCAAGCTCGATCGTAATCTTGAGAATCTTGTTGGGGTTCAAGATCGCCATGATGTACTTCATGATGTTTTCGGTCACCACCTTAGCGTACTCGGGCGAGTTGCGAATATATTCCTCGCTGGCTTCTCTGCTCTGGTTGGAGCTCGAGGAAAGACGCCGGACAAACAGCGAGCGCGAGCTGGGGTTGATGGCCGCCGTCACGACCATGCTGTCGCCATCTTCCAACAGTCGGTTGCAACACCAGTCCAGAGCCACCCATGTATGTTTGCGGCCAGATATGTAGCACATGATATTTCTGTCTGGCAGCAGTGGTCTTCTGGAGCCCAGTTGCCGTGAATATAGCTTGTCAAAATCTTTGTGTTTTTTGGTCAATGTGCATGCATCGTGCGTGATGATGGGGCTTGTAGGGTACTGTCTGGAAGTCATGGCTCCAGCAATGCTGATGTTTCTTATGGGCGAAACAGACCCCATACGCTTCATGAACGGGTTTCCTGGGGACAGGCTGCGCTCAGACGAGTTGGCACGCAGGCTCTGATGTGGCGAGATGTCCCGATGTGGAGATCGGCCCCGTGAAGCCAGATAGCTCGAGCCAGGCGACGGCTCGCTGCCGCTAAACGGACCCCAGCCCCCAGAGCTTAGAAGCTGCTCGCGTCGGCTCCAACGGTCTCTGCCCTGCATCAGTCCCACGTCGTCGCAATCGTCGTCGCCATAAGAATCGTCGTCATCCGCAATCTGAAGATTCACCGTATCAAACGACACTCTGCGTTTATAATTTGCGGTCGTCCGAAAGGGCACAGAACTGTTGTTCTTCGCCAGATGCGGCTTCTTCTCCATATGCAGCACTGTCTTCGGGTCCAAAGGCTTGAACTCGTCTATCACATTGTCAAGATGGACAGTCTTGTACGCAGGCACAGTCTTGGTGTTGTCTGCCTGGCCCTCGTACGTGCCGGAACCCTGGTGTGTTTTCGACTTGCTCAGAGGATACAGGTACGACGTATGGGGCTTTCTATCCTGGTCGCTGGCACTAACCGTGTGCATCAAAGCATTGCCAGTGTAGGGGGTGGGCCCCACTGTAGTCGTGGGAGACAGCGTGGGGCCGCTGGAATCCATTGATACCCCTGCCGAGTGTGCTGAATTGTGCCTGCTGGATTGCAAATTCGACATAATAAAACACAGCGCAAATCCAAGTGCCTTAGCTCGTTGCTGCGTGATTTATTCCTGTACTTATCTTCCTTTATTTTTATTCTACTGTCAAATCATTTTTTGCCACACCTCGCACCTCGGACTAGCCTTGGCTGTTGACGGCCAGCTCCATGATGAGCCGGGTGGCAAGATGTAAGAAGGGATACGCGCTGAATGACGAGATCTCGTCCGAGTCCTGCAGCTCCTGCTCGGCAGGCCCCGATTTGGCAGGGCTCTTGGACTCCCAGCCGTCGAATTTGAAGTCCACGAGATAATTGTTCGGCTCGAGCTGGAAAAGCTGGATCTGCATTTTCATCAAGTCGGCGTCTTGCTCGCTGTCCGACACGGTGTACCTCCAGCGCACTTTGATCGTCCAGAGCTCCTCTTCTGACGGCCGCACCCACTCTGCACCCAGATTTTTCAGGGCTCTGTAGATCTCGCCCATTACGTCTAGCGGATACGATCTGGAACGGATGCCAAAATGCCATCTTGTTTTCGACTTTTTGGTGCTGATAGGCTGGATCGACGCAAGCTCGGGACGCAGCTGCACCATCGACGCTCTGTGGATCTGCGGTAGCGACGACGGCAGGATGGCAATCGTCGAGCTCGGGTTGTAGTTGGTTGCATTATCGGGCTTTGGGTAGTCTATGTTCGTCGGCGTGCGCCATCTCGGGTGGCTCGGGTCGTTCGTAGCCGTGTGTAGCCTGTCCTGTTTGTTGATATCCTCCACGAGCTTCTTGTTGCTCTTCATTAGTTGGTAGCTGTCGAGAATCTCCTCTGTCTCCGGTGTTCTGCCTATCTTGATAGCGTCGATAATCTCCTCGCGCGAGTAGCCCATGGCAATGGCCAATGCGTTCACCACGTCCTCGCTCACGTCGTCGGGACTCACCTTTTTCTCTGTAGCAACGTCTTTCAGCAGATACTCAGGCAGACCCACCTTGAACCACTCGTCCTCCATGATCTCCTTGATGGTGATTCTGTTGAGCGGGTTCACCACGAGCATTTTCGTGAGCAAGTTCTTGGCACCTGGTGAGAGGTCGTGCGGCAGCGTGTACACTCCGTTGCTGATTTTTTTGAAGAGAGCAGGAATTAGCTCGTCGTCAAAAGGCAGACGACCGCACAGCATCACATACAGAATCACTCCACACGACCAAACGTCCACCTCGGGCCCCGCGTAAAGTTTGCCGGAGATGACCTCTGGGGCAGCATAGTTCGGAGACCCGCAGCTGGTCTTGAGAAAATTGCCGTCTGTCATGATGTTGCTAAGACCGAAATCTGCAATTTTCACGTTCAGCTGGTCGTCCAGCAGCAAATTTTCCGGCTTGAGGTCTCTGTGGACGATCTTGTGGCGATGGCAGTAGTCCACGGCGGCGATTATCTGCTGGAAAAACCGCCTGGCCTCGTCCTCCTTCATCCGCCCGTGCTGGATGATGTAATCAAACAGCTCTTTGCCTGCGTACTCAATCACCATGATGATCTCGTCTTTGCTTTTGATCACGTCATACAGCTTGATGATGTGCGGGTGTCTCAACAGCCGCAGATACGAAATCTCCCGCTCAATTCGCCCCTGCATGTCAGATTTCGACAAGGTCTTTCTGTTGATCATTTTAAGAGCCACTCGCTGGCCTGTACCAGTGTGGTATGCCAGCTTCACCTTTCCAAACGAGCCTTCTCCCAGGTTCTTGACGATCTGGTACTTGCCAATCCGATTGGCGGCTCCCGCCGCAGGGTGGTTGTGGTGGTGTTGTTCCGCTTCAGACATGTGTGTCAGTAATTTTTATTGTTGCGACTCCACTATTTCTCTCCCCGAACTGAGTCGTGCACTACTTCATTAAACCTATTTAACGAGTTCTGATGATTCCGGCAGCCATCAACGTCATGATCTTGCGGCTGACGTCTGGGTTTTTCATGTGCTCCTGCAATGCGGCAGGGTTGCTCTGGGCCTGCTGGAGAATCGTCTGCATCACTGGGTCGCTCAGAATCTGGACAACCTCAGGATCTTTCTGGATGCGGGCCATGGTCTCTTCGTAAGTTTCTCCCTCCAACGGAGCAAATCTCTGAGCCATGGCCTTTTGGTAAAGAGAGTCAATCTCGTTGAGATTGGCTGTGGACTTGTTCTTCAGCTCTGCCTCTCTGGCAGCTGTCAGAGTGTCAAGACACTTTCTGTACTCCTTGATGGCCAACTCAGCGTTGGCCTTGCGGATGTAGGCTCTGATAAATCCTGGGTCCAGCTTGATGGCCGTTTCGCAGTCTCTGATGGCGTCTGGGAACGACATAAGCTTGGCCAAAGCAGCAGCTCTGTTCGAGTAGCCTCTCACATCAGACGGGTCTCTCTTGATCATCTCTGTGTATGCTTTCACGGCATTAGGCCAGTCGCCGGCATTGAAATACTCCTTGCCCTCCAATCTGGCTTTTTCAGCAAGATCCTTGTCGATGTACGCCTCGGCCTCTCTTTTCTTGACCTCCTTCTCGGTGCTTCTCAGCTTGTTCAGGACTTCTGGGGTTCTGTGTTCGGTCAGCGACTTCTCGAAGTACTCACAGGCTTTTTTCAGGTCGTCTTTCTTCAGGTACGAGTTTCCGATTCTCGCAAACGACTTGGCAACCAGCTTGTAGTCGGCACGCATGTCTCTTCCCTCGTCCACGGCTTTCAAACAGGTCTGGATAGCGGCATCGTAGTCTCCCTTTTCGTATTCAGCAGCGGCACGGTTGTTCAGGTAGGTAATGTCCTTGTGGGTTTCCCATGCCTTATTATATAGTTCAATTGCTTCGTCAAATTTTCTCTGCTTGTACAACGCGTTGGCCTCTGCCTTGTATTTGTCGGCCTCTGCCTTCGATTCGTCCACTGGCTCCTCCGCCTTTGGCTCTGGCTCGCTCTTTTTAGCTGGCTCTGCTGGTTTTGCAGGCTCTGCGTCCTTCATCTCAACGTCGTTGTCCGAGGACGCTTGGGTAGGCTCTGGAGGAGCTGCACCGAGGTCAATTCCCAATATGGCCGCCAAAACCGTCATCAGTCTCTGGTCGGTGAACATCTCGGTACTCAATCCAGCAGGGTTGGTCTGCAACTTTCTCACCTTTTCCACAAGAGATGGGTCTTTCATTAGCTCAGCGGTCTTTGGATTAGTCTTGAGTTTTTCAATCAGGCCAGGATCAGAGAAAATCTTGCGCATTCCCATGGTTGGGTCGTTCTGGGCCATCTGGGCATCGGAAACTGCCTGAAGACCACTTTTAGCCATGGAATTGTTTGGATCAAGCTCTAGAGCCTTTTCGTAGGACTTCTTGGCGTCGTCCAGTCTCTCAAGCCCGAACTCTGCTGCAGCAACACGGTTGTAGCCTTTGGCCCAGGAAGGGTTGATTTTAACACATTCTTGAGCATCTTTAAGGGCCTCCTCGTATTTCTTCAACGACGCATAGCACGCAGATCTGTTGGAGTAGAGAACATGATTAGGAGTGGACGAGACCTCGATCGCCTTGGTAAAGTACTCAATGGCCTTGTCGTAGTCTTTGGCAGAAAAAGCGGCGTTTCCCTGTGTTTTATATTCTTCGGCAGACATGTTGGTTGAAGCGAGAAAACTGTTCCTACTTATAAATGTTAATTGGTCTTTTCTAGAAAAAATACCGCTCATCCTTGCACGGAGACAAAAAAAAAAAAATAATTGCATGAAAAATAATTTGATAGACAATGGACTCCTTTGCTACCAACACCGCTGTGTTCGACAGCTGGCTTCATAGACATTACGACTATATTAGCGATGACATTGCAATTGCAGATCTGAGAGATTCGCACGAAGGACGCGGCTTACTAGCACGCAATGACATCCAGAAAGACACCGTTCTGTTCCGTCTGTCTAGAGATCATATACTGAATATTCGCACAGCGGCTCTTGGCAAGCTCAAACCGGGAAATCAGGAAGTCCTTGAGACTCTGAACCAATGGGAGGCTCTGATTTTGTGTCTGGCGTACGAGATGATGCTAGGAGAGGAGTCCCAGTGGAGCTCGTACTTGGCAGTTCTGCCTGAAAAATTCAACTCCTTAATGTTTTGGTCGTCCGAGGAGCTTGAAAAACTGAAGCCATCCAACGTTTTGCAGAGAATTGGGCGCGAACAGGCCGAACAGATGCATTCCAAGCTTGTGCCTGAATACTGCCTCCGTCTAGGTAGCAAGAAATTGGTGGAGTATTTGACTATAGACCGGTTCCATAAGGTTGCAAGCATAATCATGAGTTACTCGTTTGATGTTGACGATCCTGAGGACGATCCTGAGGACGATCCTGAGGACAGTGAGGATCAAGAGGAAGAAGTTGACGAGTTAGAGCAGGAATGCATCAAATATGATGGGTATTTGAAGTCCATGGTTCCTCTTGCAGATATTCTCAACTCAAATACTAATTTGGTGAATGCGAATTTGAGCTACGAAAATGACGCGCTAGTTATGACTGCTACTAAGGACATCAAAAAAGGAGAGCAGATTTATAACATTTATGGTGAGCTGCCGAACTCTGAGATTCTGCGAAAATACGGATATGTGGAGCTTCCTGCTTCCAAGTACGATTTTGCTGAGCTGCCTGTGTCAGTCATCAAACAGACGTTTGTGGACAACTATCTCTCGTCGTTGGACAGCAAAATCCGAGAAACACTCTTCGACAAGACTGCCGAGCTGATCAACGATTCCGATTACTTAGACGAAAGCTTGGAAGACCTGGAAGAGGGTATTGTTTTGGATTCGTACGAGGTTTTTGCCGATGCAGACGTGCTGCCAGAGCTCTTGCTATTAATTCAGATCCTGACGACCTGCTATGAAAGTTTTGAGACAGACCCAAAATGGGCCAAGAAACTTGCGAGATCGCGGTCCGAGCTGGAATCCTTTGTCAACAGATGCATTCTGAAATCGTACCAGCTTGTGGAGAAAAACATAATCACCAACAGATGTGTCGAGAATCTCAATAAATGCGTCGAGGGACGCATAGCCCAGTACGGCACCGCCCAGAATTATGAGATTCCGGCCAGCTATAGAGACTTCGACCGCACAGAGCTTGCATCCATCGTTCTGAGATGCGAAGTGAACTGTTTGCGCAATGTGCTGAACAACTTCTCAGAAAAGTATGAGCGCATTGACGACTCGAAACTGCTGAAAAACGTGCTCAAGCGCAAGGCCGAGGCAGACGCACAAAAACACAAGAAGCAAAGAACCTAATCCTCTGTCGGGTCGCTAGCGGCGTGGCGCTGCGCTGTCTCCGACACTATACTCGAGCGGCTGGACGTGTTTGTGCGCTGTGCCAGCATTCTCATTCGCGGCCGTGGCCGCATGACCTCAAAACCCTTGGAGCCGCCTTTCTTCTCGACTCCTTTGCCTTCTTTCTTCTCGAACTCGACCGATACAGCGCGATGCAGCTTTCTTTCTCGTTCCTGCCAGAGTTTCATCACTTCTGGATCAGGTTCAAGGTCCTTAAACGAGTTATAATATAGATCTGCCTCTCTGAAAGCCAAGTCTGATTTGTGCGTATGTTTCATAGACGGGCCCGTTGTCACGGCAGGTACCACACGGTGGTCAGTGAGCTCCAGAGTTTTGGAGTTGACCGACGGCGTTCCTGATGAGGTTCTTAATAGCGCGGGCGTCTCAAACGTCCAATTGTTGAAGGACTCGTCAAAGGACGCCAGGCTGTGGTTGTCCGGCAGCACTGGGACCTCGATAGGATTGCCGTGCTCGATGTAGTCCGGAATTTCGGTACCCTTCTTTCCGTTTCTGTACTTGATATACATCTTGAAGGTGGTGTAGAAGTTGTAGAGCGTGGGGACCAAAAACACCAGCACCAGAGTCACAAGCTCGATGACCAAAATTGACCATACAACTCTGGTCCTGGCTTTTTCGCTCCCATTTAGTCCGTCAATGAATGCAATGTGCAGAAACGCAATTATAAGCTTGACAACGGCCAGAGAAATCTTGGTCCTGTTTGTTCCCGTGCTTGGGTAGTAAGGCTCCCAGAACAACATGACACACAGAAGGACCAATTCCGAGCATATGATCACAATAAGCTGGACAACTCCGCTGAATTGCAGAGCGCCAACTGCAAAACTGAAGACAAAGTGTTCAAGGAAAGTGACGGCAACAAACCACAGAGCAGAGGTTTTCAAATGCACATAGGCCCATTGCCATATCAGAATCACGTTGATCGATTTGTAGAGCTTGTCGCGTCCGCGTTTAATTAGAATGAATCGCACCACGTAGTATATCTGGAGCAGGAAGTAGAGGGCCAGAAGAAGCGAGGCGGTGGCAGTCACCCAATGCGGATTGCTCTCGATCTCTGGCTGTCCATAAAGATGTGTGTGGGGAACACTAAGCACGAAAAATGAGTATATGAGAGATGGCGTGGCGATGTAGCCAATGAAGGCGGAAAGTATGTTTCCAATGACAGTCAAAAACGAGAGTCTTATGTAGCGCGCAAAGTTTGGGCGGGTGTCTTTAGGTTTGAGCAAAAGCACCAGCGAGCAGATTCCCAGGTCGATAACGCAGGCAATGGCGATGTAGATAACGGCGGTAATCAGGAATGACGACCATATCACTGGCAGACCGTCTTTGCCGAAGCCGGAGCCCAGTAGTCGCTTCAGGCCGCCCATCCACAACGACTCATACACCCCGTCGACGCCCATGGCGGCGTGGTTGTGCAGCAGGTCCATAACGCCAGCCCAGCGCTGCGAGGCCATTAGGGGCTGGAAGAAACCTGGGTATTCGAGATTGAGGCCCGCCATGAAGTGAATAAACTGAATGTACACCAGGTAATCAGCGTAGCCGGGAGACAGCTGGTTGAGCAGCGGCGCGTTGCAGATGGACGCTGCCTTGTACAAGAACGGGTTTTGCGTGTCAATGTACGGCGAAAGCTGGTATCCAAGGATGTTCGAAAGAAGAATCAGCGAGAGCAGCAGCGCCGTGAATACCACCATAAAGTTCTGCAGTGAGCGTTTCTGGACAGTGCTGAATGTGGCCAAAGAACAGCCAATCACCGTGTGGTTGGCGTCCGAGTTGATGACCGTCACGTCCAAACTATACGTTCCAAAGGGTGAGTGGTGACCGATGTAGAGCGACAGGTCCACCGCAACCTCGTCTCCGTCATATATCGGACACGAGTCGTCGAACGACCCCGAACGGTCCAGCAGTTGCGGAACGTCTCTTTTCTGTATCATATCGGAGATCTGTGGAATGTCCGTCGAATGGTCTACCAACGAACGGTGGTGGGTAGAGGTGGAAGACTCTTGCGAGGTGGTCGTGCTAACAGGCACATCTCCGTCCGCACGAAGCACCCTGGAGTAATTGCATAGTCTCAAATATTCGTCAAGTATCACGTCGCCCACGTATTTGAGCCGGACATGGAGTGTTGTGTAGGTGTTTGTGGTTTCGTTCACGTCCACTATATACCCCATGGAGTCCATGACGAGGTTCATGTCCAAGCGTCCGTCATCGTCGTTGTAGGACACATTGGTGAAGAAGGGGGAGAGAAGAGCGTCATCCATATTCTTGGACGGATAACAGCTCCTGACGTTCAATAAAGCACTCCTGGCGTCCTCTGCAAGCAGCAATAATCCCAAAAACAACAGCGTGATCATGGCTGCAAATTAGGGACAGCTAGGCTGAAAGGACGGTAAATAGCTCTAGATTTATTTTTCCAAAAATCAGTACCCCTTTTACTTTTTCAATTTTCCATTATTTCGGTGCAGACTATGTACAATCAGGCAATATTTTTCATCAGGTACTCGAAAATAGAGAAAAATATCATGGTGGTCACGATTGACCGGGTGATGGAGGGCCCAAGCCCGCGGTACAGCTCGCGCGTGGGCCATCTCAGTTTGGGCGCTACCACAGGCAGCTTGTCGCGGCCAGCCACCTCTCGTAAAATGTTGCGGATAACGTCGCGCTGGTACTGCGACTTGATTGTGTCAACCGGGAACACCAGCACCCAGCTGAAACACCCCGCCACCGCTCCGGAAATCGGCACACTCAGCACGTTGATCGTCTTCTGCAACTCGGAATTCGTGGTCACGTGACCGTTCCTGGTCTGGATGAACAGTTTGACTGTCTCGTAGAGTCCGTAGAAAAGCCCCGACGAGATGCCGTCCTTGGTGAGATGGTATCTGTAGCCTGAGTAGAGTCCCCTGAGGCCCTCGTGGCGCACTATGGTCGATGCAACGCTCAGAAGACTCGACGGCAGCCTGTCGCGTTGCAGATGCACGTACTTGCCGTTTTCCTTTGAATTGTTGACCAGAAGAAGGATTTGCTGGAAGATCTTGGACAGTTCAAATGGACACGCAAAAAGAGACACCGCTGCGCCTGATATGGAACCCGCCAAAACGGCAATCGGAATGTTGTTGACCACCTTGTCGATCTGGGCCTGCTGATCGGACACCGGGGCTGTTCTATGAATTAGCGGGTGGCTCCCCCAGATCGGGGCTCCCAGAAAGCTCACTATAGGCTTCGCCTCTGTGTAAATAGATACTCCGAGCGACCGAGCAAAGGCCGTAGAGATAAGCGGGGCAGAAATACCCCGGAACAGCCCGCGGACGCCCTCGTGCTGGACAGTTGCTCGAAAACAGGCAAATGCATTGGCAAAATGGTGAGTCTGCATCCGTGTCTTCATGGAATCCAACGGGAAACCCACAGAGGTGGAGACGAGGGAAGCCGAATACGAGAGGATACCTGATTTGTAGCCCGTGAGGGCGGCGGGGAGACGGAAAAAGGGGTCTTCGTACGCGATATCCCCCGTTATAGCAGGGATGTGCGCAGATCTCTTGTCTCGCAAAGACGACATTGTAATTAAAGACTAACCAGGTGAATCGGAGTTGAAGAAATTTCTAGGGCACAGCCGCAGCGAATGCAAAATGATTTTATTTAAATTTTTTTGAATTTAATTATTGGCATTCTTATAAGTTACATATCAATGGCATCTTTAAAACTTAGAATGTCGTTGAACCGTAGTCCGTTGACGTCGATATCGTGATCGCGCGATTTTTCCAGCAAGCCACCAAACTCTGCATGCTCAGTCTCGTCGTTGTCCTTGCTTGCTACCAAGATTAATCCATTGGACCGCACCGACTTGACCAGATCCGGACAAATCGAGAGCACGCTGTTTGGCACAATGATGCCGAGAAGGTTGTTTGTGGTGGCAAACGCTGTTCCGAGCTTGATTGAGCGCGTGAGCTTGTCCTGGTACTGTAAATCGTTGAGATACACCACCGAGTCCTTGTTGATGGAGTCGATGTTGTCGATCTTGAGGTCTGGCTTCTCCGCTTCCGACACGTCCACGGAGCCTGTCGGGAACCCGTTTGCGGTGCACGGCTCAAATCTGTGTGTGTCGAAGTTGTACTTGATTCCGTTGATGTTGTAGAAAACAGGGTAGTTGGGCTGCTTCCAGTTTAAAATTGTGCACACCATCGCGTTGTCGCTGGACAAAATTAACGACCGGTTGCGGTTTCCTTGCACCCGCAGGCCGCGCACGTGAGTAAACACATCGTTGAGAATGAGATCGATGTAGTTGTTCATCACGTTGTCCGTTGTCGGGCTCAGGTCGGCAGATTTGCACTTTGCGACCAAATTGTAGGCCGACACCGAGTAGCACTTCATGTTGAAGAAACTAAGCTCAAAAACGGATGGATAGAAAATCTCCAGGTTCAGCGACACTTCCACGGCAACAATTTGTAGGAAGAGCTCCAACGGAATGTACAGCTTGGCCATGATGTCCTCTAATTTCTTCAGGTCGTCGCTCAAATTCTTCACCTCCCGCAGCTGAGCACACAGATCTTCAAAAGCGCCCGCCGAGTACAGCAGTCTGGACAGCTGGTCAAAATCAAAACTGCACACGGACAGAACGACGTCATTGAATGTGATCTGCCAGCTTGGACACACCAGCGGGGTCCCGTCGCTCAGATAGCACACCTTGACGCGGTAGTACTCGCCGCTCAGCGACGACGCCGTGACGAAGGAGATCGACTTCACCGTTGCCGCCGCCGCAGACGACGACTTCCAGTACGTGTCGTACATTGAGATCTCCAGCGGCCGGCCAGAGTACGGATACACGATCTCGTAGTTGAACCGGAGCATGCCGATGCTGCGGAGCCGCAAATCCACGAGCGGGACCTCGATGTCGCCGCTGAGCTTGGAACCAACTCCAGGGCACTTAGTTTGGAGCAGTGACGACGGCAGCGTGCCCTTGGCAATAAGCCGTGTTCCAAATGTCGGGAACAGCTCGAACTCGATGGCAAAGCCGTCGAACGTGTCCGTTTGGAATGTGATGGATTTATCGTTGTCGAGGACCGGAAGAAGCAGGTTTCGCGGGATCAGGTCGTTTTTGTCGCAGCTAATGGTGATACGTCCGGGTATCGAGGTGAGAAAAGTGTCCGGATTAAGTCTGATGGAGTTTCTGTTGGTGTAGAAGGAGAGTTTAAGGAAGATCCGTTTTTCCAAGAAATTGTGGCCGTACTTTCGCAGAGGAATGATTGGCGGAGGCAGCTCTAAGTCCGGAATCATGTCGACATTGCTGATTTCAGACAAAGACGGCAGATCGTCCCGGTTTGGGGGCACCATTGGAGACATCACGTTCTTGGTGTAGCTTAGGGTTGGTGCCTGTGGAGGAGCCAGCTCGAGCTCTTTCCGCGGAGGGAGACCTGCAGCAGCAGCAGCACTGGCTTTTAGCGACTCGATCATAACGTTGGCGACTCCAACATTTCCCTCCCAGAGGGCATAGTACAGCGGATTGAAGCCGTCCTCATCCTTGATGTCGAAATTGGCTCCAAACTCTATCAATTTTTTGGTGGTCGATGCGTAGCCCTTGGTGACACTATAGAAAATCGGCGTCCACTTGTTGAGCTTGTCTGTCTGGTTGATATCAGCGCCGTACTCAAGCAGCAGCGGGATAAGATCGTCGTGACCGGCCGACGCAACGATGTGCAGTGGAAGCAGGCCCTCGGCGTTGCTTTGGAATGATTTTGTCAGCAGGCCCTTCGCTTTGGCTTCGGCCGGCGTGCTGGCCTGATTGAGCAGCAACTGGACAACTTCCAGGTTTCCTGTCTTGCAGGCAACATTGAGGGGCAGATAAGTCGGCTTGAGATCGCTTTGCTGCGGGAAAGCGTTGGCTCCGTGCTTCAGCAGTATCTCCACAGACGAAACGTGGTTGTTGATGATGGCCATGAGCAGCGGAGAGATCGACTCGTTGTCGACCACATCAATCAGACTCTCTAGCGGCTTGATGCGCGGTGCGTAGTCCAGAACAAGCAGCAGCAGGTCGTCGCGACCGAGCTCTGTGATGTAGTGGAGGCACGTGCGTCCGGTCACGTCCTTTAGCGTCGGGTCGATGTTGTTCTCGAGACACAGCTGGACGATGCCAACACGGTCAGTTTTGCAGGAGGCAGCCTCGTGAAGGCATGTTCTGCCATTGAGGTCGTCGACTAGCGAGAAGTCGATGAATTCTTTGAAATTATCGTAGAAATACTGCAACGCTTCGTCCGGGATCTGCAGATTGGGAATCAGCAGCAAAAACACCTTCGAGATCGTAAACCGTTTGCTATCGGGACTCAGCTTCGAGAGAACCTGATTGGCCCACTCGTGCAGCTTCGAAACTTGCTCCTCCTTGGACTGGTTCGCGTTCTGGGCCGTGATCTCGTAGAAATCCGTGTACAGCTCGTCCGACTCTCTATCTCCGCGAGGCAGCTCGCCGTCGTCCACTTTGTTGTGTTCTTTCGTCTCGTACCGCACAAAACTGCCGCCCTCGACTTTTGCCTCCAGCTCCATCAAATTGTTGGCCACAAGGTCACTCAGCTCAATAATCTCGTCCCTGTGGAAAACAGGCTGCACATTCACAGCAGTGGACAAATAAAGCTCTTTCGTTCTGGATTTTGACCGCTTATCCCACTTCTTCAACACTTTCGTGAACCCTGTCTCATTCAGCTCGACAAATTGCTCCAATCGGTCCAGATCCTTGGAGAATTTCTTGAATCCATCGTATAACGTCACAAACGCGATGGAATTTTTCGTGACGTTATCGAGACGGCCGTCCGACAGCGCCTTGTTCTTCTTCTCAATCAGAATGTCCAGCCGAAACTTGAGCTCTGATTCCTTCTCCAGATAAAAGTTGTTGACCTTTTCGAGCTCTCGCTCCAGACGAAAGAAAAAAGAGCCCTTCTTGTCCTGCAACGACTGGTCATTGCTGTTGTTGGCCACCAGGGCATTGATCAGCTTTTTCAACGCTTTGTAGTTGATGAAATAGCCCGAATACTCGGGCAATTCCAGCTGGCGCGCCGCCAAGTACTTGCCGAACTTCATTAAAAGTACAAGATCCTGCCAACTTAATTTCAGTGGGGAATTACGTCAGCGAAATTAGAGGTCCTGGAAGCCCGATGAGGCCCACTCTGCGATCGCCCACAGAGGGTGGACAGACGCGTGGCGGGTCCCAGACAGGTGAGGTGTGCGAGCACACGGTTGGCAGACGGCCACGTCGGTGGGCGGGCCTCGCTGCCCCTACCGGTGGCTAATTGGAGACAACACACGTGCTGCCAGGCGCGACGATCGACGATCGACGCAAGCCAATTTTTTAAGTTCAACTTTAGCGTTCCGTTTGTCTCATTATCTATTATCGTATGCGTAGCGTACGTTATATAACATAATTTTAAGAGTCCGGACGACATGTAGGGCAGTCAATAAATCGTAAATGCAGGAGTGGCTCGTCGCGAGCGCTAATAATAAGAATATGTTGTTCATGACAGTTCTCCATTGATAAAGTTTTCGAACTCGAGCTCAACGTCGTGCAAGCTGTCGAACTCATAGTAGTCGTGGAAATGGAGGTCATTCTTCGGTTCCAGACCCAGTGCAAGGTCTGTGGTTGGCGGAGACAGCATGGAGTCGGCCGTGTTCGACTTGAAGATAGAGAAGACAGAATCCTTGCCGGGCGACGAGGGCAGCTCGGCCAATTTGAAGCCCTTTGGCGACAGCGAAACCAATGTGGAGCCCGAGAGACTGTCCATGGTTTCGTTTGTTTTCGTAAGCGAGATGGAAGGAGTAGGCGTCAGGTCGGCCTCGTGCTCCGGGTGGTGGTCTAGAAGATCGAGATGGTCGTCCTCGGACAGCGCTGGCGACGAAAAGTCCATATCCCGGTCGTCGAACTTGATGAATTTGTCCATTTCCTCTGTTTTCGGAGCAGCCGGCTGCTGGACCTGTTGCGAGTGGTTCAGGTCGATGAGAGACACGATGAGGTCGTTGATGTCGTCGTCGTGGCTTCGTTTACGGGGGAATGATGGCGATGGGGCAGGTAGGGTCGCGTTTTTCTTCGACCTGTCTCGAATTTCATTTTTCAAATTTTTCAGGTCGGACACAAGCTTGATGACCTCCAGCTTGAGATAGTAATTTTCTTCGTTGATTTTGAGAATTTGTTGTTTGAGAGGGTTGTTCATGATGCTGGCCTCCAGGTCGTGCTGCGCGTGCGGAGTCTGCTTAGACTTTTTAGCCTCCTTGGGCTCTTTACTAGAGTGTACGTTAGAGTTTACGGCCTGGGAAGGTTTTCGACCGGGCTTTGGCCGAGGAGGCAAAACCCATTTTCGGGAAGTCTTGATCTTGATCGGCGTTTGTGAAAGCGGGTCTGGGGAGGCGCCCTGACTAGTACTCGTGTTGGTCAGAGGTGTGCTGATACTTGTATCACTCAGTGCTGGAATGTTAGCTGGATAGAGGAACGACAACATACTTTGATTCGACATGACTCATGGAACCCATTGAATTAAAAGACTGGAGTATTGAACTTTTGACAAAGGAAATCCAAAGTATATAAAAGGCTGGACGGAATCGGATGCAAAAAAAGTCGGCACCCCAACTTTGATGTTTCGCAGCCCGTATTGTCCCAGAGCGTACTTGCTTGATTTAGATTTTTTCCACCCCCATAGGCTGCCGTGATTATTGTGCAGGTTATTATTTGCTGCAATCTAGTTGGTACACACACGACTATAGCTCGACGACATGCAGTGCTCACCCGGTTGCTTCCGCGCTAGAAAGCGAACGGGCCGCACGCGACTGGCTCCTTCCGTAGCATGAGTGCGCAATGCCAGTGGCCACGGAGCACAGGCATAGGGTGTGCATCCATTGCCCGCTCCCTTGAGCCGGGAGAATTGGGCTGCGGGACACTTTTTTCATCAACACCCCCTCTGCTGACAATTTCCCGAGCCGAGAAGTTGTTCTCGAAAAAGGCGCATTTCGGCAGCTGGATCTCTAATCCAACTCATCCCTTTGCCAAATTTTTTTGCCAGCATATTCCAAGCGTTCCAGGGTGCAGCAAGCATTACGCAACTACAACAATTCCTAACAAGTATGCTATTATTGGGACCCTCCCCCACACCTCTACATCTTCATAAAATCCATCAGGTCCAACGTTTTTGCCTGTTTCGGCTGCTTGTTTTTCAAGAGTTCACTCAGGTTGTTCTTCTTCCTTTTGCGCGCTCGCTCCTTGGCGTTGCTTTTCTCCACGCTCTTTCCCGCCTCTTTTCCTTGCACCAGCACGTCCTTGGTCATTTCGTGTCTGCACCCAAGACATTTGTAACACAACAGCCGCTTCCGAACTCCGTCTTTGCTCTCATACCGCACACGAATCTGCAAATTGATCCCCGATACGAGGACGTCCTCGCATCGATGACAGAAAATGTACCCATCTTCTCCCACCGCCTCCGGTAGCATTAGACTGTGTCTGTGGCACGTCGCCAAAAACCGCCGTCGCAGCTGCCGTCGCAGCCTGCCGTCTTTTGCCGCGTGCACCAAATTGTACTGGTAAACAGCCTTATCGGCCATGAATTAAAAATTAAAAAAAATTAGAAAAAATTAAAAAAATCAAGCGAAATGCAATAAATGCCATCTTTATTAATGCAATGGTCTAAAGCCGGGATCGCCTCCTCTTCACAGGACTAAACTCCGGGCTCGGCAGCTCAAACTCGCGCTTCACCCCACCACGTAGCCCACAGTCGTCTGTGTTTTTTGTGTTTGTGACATCCCGCAACGCCATAATAGGCTTTGTGTTCGAACTCTCGGTCAGAATATTCTGCACATCCACCACCCTCTTTTTGGCGGGCGTGGACGGCGGCGTGAAATAGATAGACGTGTCCTCGGGCTCCTCGAACAGCGTAGGAATCTGTTTCTCGATGTATTCGCACCACTCGTCGCAATCGCTCTTGATCTGGTAGTCGATAACCTTGTCCCACGCGCTCGGGGACACCTCACAGTTGTTGATGAAAATCACCTTGCCGTCTTGCCTCTCGTGGATGCGCCTACTCAGCTGGCGCACAAGTTTGCGCACTCCGTCCACTTTCAGAGAGGTGCCAAAGATGATCAGTAGGTTCGGGTTCTTTGCCATGTCGCTTGTGAGCCCACGCGCAAGCGAGTCTGCGTGCGGGTGGTGCTCTCCATAGAGCACGATATCCGGCCGCAGCACGCCGACCGAGGACCGGTTCGCTCTTTTGCCCAGCTCTGCGCGTTCTTTGTATTTGGCGACACAGTTCGGGCAATCGGGCAACTCACCTTCGCGCAACATACAGCTGCTCTCGTCGTCCCACGAAAACCGGCTAAAACACATGGTGCAACTGAGCCGGTTCAGGTCGCCGTGCAATTGCACCACGTCGAGCTCTTTCCAGTTCGTGTCGACGCCGGTCCGTAAATCACACTGCCGTTCCAGCCCGTCAATGTTCTGCGTGTAGCACTTCAGCAGCTTGCCGTGATTTTTCAACCGCCGAATAAACCAGTGGGTCTTGGTCGGTTTGGCTGTGCACGTCTTTGTGTAGAGCTGTTGCATGAACTTGCAAAACAGCGTGATGGACTCGTCGTTCCTGAACAGCGAGATGTCAAACAGGTCTTTCCCCTTGACAATCGACTGCTGTTTGTCAGACCGTTTGGCCAGGTTGTACAGCCCGTGTGCACTGCGGAAATCGGGTATCCCCGCGCTGCAACTGATGCCTGCGCCCGTCAGCACGACGACCTTCTTGCTTTTTGAGATCAATTTGTTGATCTGCGCGAGCTCAGCTTGCGATTTGGCGTCTAGCTGGAGTACCTTCATTGATAATAAGATTTCGTGGAAGCGAAACCTTCTTGGTGCAAACACTTTTTCCGAATGAGGAAATATAAAAATACTCCTGCCAGGAGGAAGAGTTGTGCGAGGTAAAAGCGCGCCATATCCTTTTATTGAGCTGCTCGTTCGCGACTAGAATACATCCCTGGCCAATAGACACCCCAATACACCATCTGCAATGACAATCTCCGACATAACTACCAATGCCCGCTGCTCTGTAACCACACCTCGCACCGCTTGCAAATGACGGCAGTACGGCTTTTTTTCGCAAGTCGCAAGCGCGAACCCTGGCCACGACAAAAAGATGTGCGCTGCACCGCAAGAATGCGATGTAGCGCAGCGGGGGCGGCCGTTTTCCACCAGAAATTACACCCCTCCAGCCGAAATCGCTCCCCGCAGCGACCTACCACACACCCACGAGCCAGTGTTGCACGAGTCTATTCCACGAATCAATTATTCAATTATTTATTTATTATACGATTAGTCGTCCCAGGCACTGTAGTTTTCTCTGCACAGTTTCTTTCTCAGCTGGTGTCCCCACTTGTAGAAAGAGAACGGCAGCAGAATCATGGCCGTGGAGATGAATGCAAGCAGCCACGAGGCCCATTGCAGTCCTAGCTTGTGATACATTTGCAGAGTGAACAGCGGGAATGCAGCACCGCCAGCCGATCTGAGGAACACCTTGGTAGCCAGCGCAGAAGCCGCGTATTTCGCGTATGTGTCAATGATGTAGTTGTTGAGCGAGTAGTAGATCAACACCATGCCGTAGCCGAACGCCAGCCCGGACGAGGCGGGACCCACCCAGATGATGTGTTTGTACGATGTTGCTCCGAGAATCCACAGAGCAATGGCCGGGAACGGTGCACCGATCATGGCACCAACAAGACGGTCCTCTGGTGTTGGAGGCCTGTGCTTGATGGTCTTGACGTAGTAGTTTTCGAGCACTGGCGTGGTCAGCAGGGCGAAAAATGCGCCGATGAGAATCGGAATCAGCATCATGCCGATCAGGTCGTCGCCGTAATTATACAGCTTACCAAACACGGCAGGGTACGCAAAGAAGAAGGCGTACAGCAGCGAGTAGATCAGACACACGTAGAAACACATCAGGTCCAGCACGGGCTCTGTGAGAGCAAACATTAGCGGTCTGTACAGACACGTCTGGATGAGCTCCTTGAGCGACATGCCGACGGCCTCCTGCTCAGTCATGATTTTCGGGTTGCCTGTCTCTTTTCTGAGTCTCTTGGCTCTTCTTTTCAGAATCACCGGCGCATAAGTCTCAGGGATCAGCGACGCGACGATCCACATGAAGCCGGAAAACGCAAAGTTGACCCAGAAGATCAGCTCGAGCCGGCCAGAGTACCGCGTGATGAAACCAGCCACGAGCGGGCCAATCACGGGGCCACCGTACGGAGCAGCAGCAAAGTATGCGATGGCCTTACCTCTGGTCTCGGTAGGGAACAGGTCGGAGATCGAGCCACCCACGTTGGCGAGGCCGGAAGCGGCGAAAACACCGCACAGGAACCGACACACCAAAATTGTGCCGATATTAGGAGCAACAGCACAGGGGATGTTGAAGATGAAGTAGAGCCCGAACGAGATGAAGTAGACCGGTCTTCTGCCGATCTGCTCCGACAACGGCGACCACAGCAGCGGGCCCACAGAGAACCCAATCACCATCAGCGAACACGTGAGAATCGACACCTCCTCGCTCACGTGATACTTATCATTAATCAGTCCCAGGCACCCGGTCACCACGGACGAACCAAACGCCACACACACCACCATCAGCGACAAGGCAATGGTGAACAACCATCTCAGCGTAGGGCTCCAATTTATTGGATTTTCCGGGTCGTTGATTGTGAACGTGACAAATTCAATTTCCGGGTCCAGCTCTGGAACAGCTCCCGTATCTTTCTCATCGGACCCCGACGAGCTTTGCGAGTCACCCGGCGGCTTGGTCGCAATCGTTTGGCTCCTAGCACGACCTATATCCTGCAACGTGGCCACAGGAACCAATCCTGTCTGCGTTTCCAAGGTGTACTCTTCAGGAAATACCGGATTTTCGACGTTTTGAGGTCGATTCACGTCGACGGCAGAAACCTCGCGCGAAAGACCCCTCTCTCGCAATGACTTGACGGTCTCTGTCTTGATGACTTTGAGCGACTCTGATCTCGATAGAGTCGAATGCATTTCTCCTGAAATTTGCGATCTGGCATCCTCCGGGTCGTATGCCTGTGGGGTGGTGCCCAATTCGAGGTCGGACGCCTGCACAGGCGCCTCAGAGGGCGATCCGTAATTGGAGCGATCCGGCGAAGAGGACGAGTTCAAAGATGCTATAGAATGCGACATGATTATTTTAAGACCACTCTTTGGGGATCCCAATGTTTATATACATCCACTTGCCATTAGCGCGTGATAGTCTGTGCGTGCAAAAACACAACTTCTGGAGCATATTTTGCGTTATTTCTCTAATTAATTGTTCTGTGCGGCTTGAAAGGGTCCCAAGGTTCTGTGAGAAAATATGCGCCACACAGAATTTAATCCGGCAGATCCGATCCCGCAGCAGAGCAATCGTTGCAAAGTTCGTGCGCTCTGGACTGCTTATCGCCCTCGGGGAGGTGTGTGTGGCTGTCTCAGGGGCTGTTTCATGTACGGCATCCAAGTCTGTCCTGGTTCGGGTTCAATGGAGCGCCTGAGCTCACAAATCATTCGGCATAAAAATTACGCGGATCAAGCACAAACTTCGCCTTTTTTAGCTTACTTCTTATTTTTGTTTTCTTGAAACCAAACGACGCGGGCTCTTGCGTGAATAAGCCGCAAACAATGTGCTGCAGCTATAGCCACAGCTGCCAAAAAGATAAACCCGAATGTCGGTCTCCTGGAAGCAACAGCTATGTCCTCGAGTCGCTGCGGCTTGTGCTGCGTCGATCGGCGGGTCTGTCAGAAAAAAAAAATATACTGAAATAAATCAAATTAAATAATTTTTGTGAATTATGCTGGTCCGCTCACATTGGATCGCCAGTCTTCGGCGGGCGGTGAGTTTCCGCGACAGCCACATAAGAACTCTGAGAACGCGACCAAACGTGGCGACCAAACGCGAATTTGCACAGCCAAGCTTGGAGCAGCTGGTGGAGCCCCCAAGAGCGCGATCGAAGTTTCAAAGGGCTAATGCGACAGATATCCAGAATGCCAGTATTAGCAAGCCACCGGCTCAAATAGAACGGGAGATGAAGCGCCAGTTCGAAAAAGATGGTTTGGACTATGATCCGGAGTTTGTCCAGCAGCTGATCCAGCAGTCCCAGAAGGAAGAGAAAATGTACAAGAATATTCTGCAAGATCCAGAGAAGGCTAAGGAGTACACTGCCGAAGAGATGCAGGCATTTGTTGAGTGGCTGGTCAGAGATTGCGAGGAGTTTCTGGCCAACCAGGACGTTGATACGGAGCAGCGAGACAGGGAGCTGGATCAGACTGTTGATCACATGATCAATAGCGATCCGACGCCCGAAAACATGGCAGGCATGTTTAGTGGCATGGAAAAAATAGTACAGGGACTCAAGAGCCCTGGAATCGACAAGCTGGTGCAGTTTTTGAGCATGATCTGCAGAAAAGGCAACGAAGAACTGAGAAAGTATATTCCGCTCGATAGTCTGCTCAGAATATTCAATATCTCGACGCAGATCAGAGACCTGGAAACGCGCGCAAAATGTATTCACATGGCTGGAAACCTGATATACTCCGCCACAGACGCGCGGGCAGACCCCATAAACGAAATGTTCTACATCGAATCGCTCATGAAATTCCACAAGGGCCACACGGCAGAGAGACTCTACAATAGCCGTCAGGGGAAGCCTGATGTGGCTGGCCAGCGGTTTTGGAATGAGTTGGGAGTCCGTGTTTATTTGGAAAATCGGAAGATTGACGATGCAGAAGCCATTGCTGCCAAGACAAAGCAGCAGTTCCATTACCTGCATCCAACAATTTGTCTTGCCCTTGCAGACTGGTACATGGCCAAGGAACGGTTCGAAGACGCCTTCCGGTGGTGGGGCGAGCTGCGAGCGGTGATGAACAGTCAGGGTTTGATTGAGTCGCTGCCGCAGCCCGAGACGCAGGTCCTGGACGACGAGCAGCTCGTGTACGAGTACCACAACCGCGAAGACCCCGTGACGTTTGATCACGTGACCGAACTGGTGATTGGATTTCTACAGTGGAAGCGGTACGACGAGGCGATGGAGATTTTGGAGGTGACGACGCGGCGCGACAAGCAGTTCCTGTTTTATTTCATGGACAAGTTTCGCACGAGCATGAGTTTTCCCCAGCACGAGATGTTGCGGCATGTCTTGCACTCTTCAAGCTACCATCCGTCGATGTCGAAATTCATGCTGAGTGAGCTTGCGAGCGTCAACCAGACAAGGTCGTTTGAGCAGGCGGAGGTCTTGGACGGCATTGTAGTCTCTCTGCGTGAGATACTGGACCTGAAAATCATTTCGCCCAAAGAGCGCATTGTTGCTTCCTCCATAATAGATTCCATAAAGGGCGGGCAGTGTCTGACCACGATGGAGTGTCGGGAGCTGTTCAAGATGCTTTTACGCATAAAGTCAAAGAGAACGTACATTCTGGTGACACAGGTGCTTAATGAGATGAACGAGACGTTTGAGCGGATGTCTAGCTCTGACAAGCTCCAGATATTTCCGCCGGTTTCGTCCCATTTTTATCTGTTGCTGGTGCAACTATTTGGCCGTCAAAAAAAGCCGGATCTCGCGAAAATTGAGGCCATTGTGAGGCTGATGGAGTCTAAGGGCATTGGCATGGTGACGTTGATGGCGAACCAGCTGATCCTCACTTACAAAAAGGCCGGCCGGCCCGATCGTGCGATCGAGTTTGCGCGACACTACATGAACACCAACGAGAATTTCCAGCTCACCAACGATTTTTGCAGAATAACTTTTTCCGTGTACAGATACGTCCAGATGAAGTCTGCCGTGCACAAGCTTGCATACAAGAGACGTTTGCAGGAGATACAGGATATATTCAGAAGAATAAGCCGTACTCCCGGGTTCGATATGAGTCCAGAGCTACTGAACGAGCTGACCCTGACTTTTTTGAAGTATGGTGACTACGTCTCGGCTATCTGTGCACTGCAGCTGTACGGAATGGTTTGCAATAAAAGTTTAGAGAAGACGACTCTTTTGCTGGTGAACGATTACCTGGAAAAATCGTTTGCCAAGATGAAATCCAAGCTCA